ATTGACACTCAATTAGAAGAGTCTCTCAACGTAATACATAAGTATGATGCTTTGATTTTGACCATAGGTAGAATGACCATAGCTAGAATGCGATTGATTTTATGAGAATACTAGCATTTGGTGAGGTTGAAATTGGTGGCAATGATCATGTCCAATTCTGAGGGACTCAATTTAGCAATCTTAAGGTCGAGTGTCTTCCTGATCTGTCGGACCCTTCTACAGTACTAGGCCACTTATATCCGCCCCCCCGCTTATTTTATGGTATCATATATTGCACCACTCTTTTTCAATATTAAATATTAAATCAATCAAGAATTATAAGATTATCAAATTTGAATAAATAAATAATACATTCTTATATTATTGATATATATAAAAATTATTCTGTTGTTAATTCTCAATCTATCAATATTTAATATACCAGCTATTCATTGTAATATAAGTCTCAATTCTAGAAAGTATATTAGTTTTCAAATTATTAAATAATTCTTTATTCAATATATTCCAAACTGCCTATAAATAACTCTTTAGCCTTTAACAAGTATATTCTGATTCACTTTTATTAATAATAATATCAAAAAATATTTTATATACCGTTATTTTTAGGGCTTATTATATATACTCTATAGAATTAAGATTGAAGGAATAAAGAGATTAAATCTTTAATAAAAAAATCTTTTTTTTAAAAAACTAATCTTATATTTTATAAATATAATAAATAGAAATATTATTCTATATAAATTTATACCCTAAATCAAACTTTTCGAAAATAAGACCTACTTTAATTTCAAGAATCTCAAGGTAAAATTTGATGTTATATTTATATTTCATATTTTCAAAATCTCTATTTATTATATATAAATTACTTTTTTTAGTATCCCAAAAGCTTTTTTAGTATATAATCTTTATATTTTTATTTATATTATATATTTCAATTATTTCTGAGTTTTATTTCTAAAAACTAATATGGAAGCATTATTCTAATCTTTTACTTTTTTTTTTACTCTATAGAGTATTTATTTAATTATATAATTAGATTCTATTTTTTAATTATCAATTCTCTATGAGCTAAATATTATTTAAATCATTTAGTAGTATATATTAATATAAACTTTAGTCTTTTCTTATATTTCCAATTGGTTATACTATATTCAATCAAAATTCTCTTAATAATTCTAATATTATAATCAAGCTTAATTTTTTGAATAATTTGTTTATATATAACTTTCGGAAACAATTATATATATTATAATAGTATTTATTTGTTTTATTTAGTACATAATTTAAATCGATTAGTATATAGTAGGTATATGCTATTATTGTATATTAGATCTTGTAAGAGAATGTATTATATAATTCCGCGAGAGAATTCAAGACTTTTTGTAATTTGATAGAAATTGAAGCCTTTTTTTACCTTGTTAACTATTTTGCTATATATATATAAAGTAAGACATTTATAAGAATCATTTTGTATATCTTTAATATATTATATATTATAAATTGAAAGTATAAATAAAATAATAAAATATGATTATGGGAGTGTAATACGTGAAAAAACGCATTTTGTGGAGTTTCGGCTAATAGAAGTGCACGGTGACTGTACATACTCTCTGAGGGTTTCCAAGCGGTATCTTTTGGCTCCTAGGGGCTGGTGTTCTCGTTTATAACCACGCTAACCCTAATCCCGACTCTGGGCAAGTCACGTGCATATGATCCCTCAGGTAAAGCATTCTGAAGGTTGGAAGACCCGAAAGACACTTAGATTGTGATTCGTTGGAAGGGATGATGTCCTTCGGCTAATTTCAGGTGCAGACATAACAGGAAATATATACTAAATTAAACACCCTCTTTCCAACAAGCAGACGGGCTTCTGGCGCAATGGCAACGCGTTTGACTTCGACTTCTGTTAGAAATAACAGTATTCTCCATCAAAAGATTGCAGGTTCGATCCCTGCGGGGCTCATCGCGATACTTTTGCAATTCTGGGCTCCTACAGCTTCGTTGTGCAGTTGGAATCATAAGAAATAGTTAAGATTTGAGGAAGTTGTGGAAGTTTGAAGTTTTTTGGTGATTATTTTCCCAGACGATCTTTATTCTGCCATTTGTTTTCATTACAAAGCTGCTACAGTCCCCTATTTGTGGCTATCAACTTCTGTACTATAAAGCTAATAGGTAAAGTAGGTCTCCTAATATTTATGCTTGGACTCCTGCTTGTGACCTATACAAGTGCTTCCAAAAAGCGTTTGACCATATTGTTAGGATGTGAAACTATTCATAGAATTCGTCAAAGTGATAGGGAGCGGAATACGTAGGTTACAAGGGAATCTGAGTGACTACCTAACTAGGTAGATCCGAGGAAGTGGGAATAGCTTCAGATCAAACGTTTATAAATTGATAATTAAAGCTACCTGGCTTTTCGAGACCTTGATTTGAGCACAGCATATAATTTCAGAGCTGTTCTTCTAAACTTTTAAGATTCCGAGCCTAACAATATCTTAAAAATTTCATAATAGCTCAAAGAGCACTCAACCGATCAAAAGCGAGGACAGTACATATTGTATTTTCCAGTCCCCTCATATGAATTTGTTCAGGACATGGATTGGAACACTGATCGAATTCAAGGTTTTGCAAGGCCAATAAAACAATTTCTTGATTGTGATGTATTATGCTATATCTGTACTTTTATACAGAATCCGATCTGCAAGATGTGGGATTATTCGGCACGGAACCAAACTGCCTAGCCCTAAAGCATTCCACGAAAATTGAAACCTTGGCACCGCGGTATTTTTATGGGCCCTAAATCATATGAGCCAATCCAGAACAAGATCTATTTATACTACATCAAGATACCTCCTTCCAATCATCATCTCTCCCTTAGGCTAATCCCTCAACATCAACTTTTCGAATTCTCATTCATGACATGCTATCAACACCACTTCAAATGGGTACATCATCACTTCCTTGTATCCACATCCAGAATCGGAATACATACTTCTATGACAACGGCATTCCTCAATTAAAAACGCGATGGTTTCTAACGCGAAGGCAACGCGCCCACCTGACTTTGATTATGTTTCGGAAGCGTGCGCTACCGTTGGTATGCAAGAGACTCAAGATTTGAGAAACACAAGGCAGAAGGACAAAAGCTTGACCTGGAGGATAGAAAAACTTCCATTTGAAGTCGGGGGGTGGATGATTTGTGGGTTTACTTTAGAGACAAGTGGATCTGGGGATTCCAGACAAATAGCTCTCTGAGCCTGTCGGTTGTCTATTTGCATCGAGATTTTCATCATCAGCATTGCAAGTGCCCTTTGCCCTCTCCAGTCTCTGGATTCGCTTCTCGGTCAGGAATTTTGTAATGGCATCTCAATTAACTCGAGTCGGCTGCTGTCAAAACAAGGAACTCAAGAGTATCAAATAACCCTATAGAATTCAACGTAAGATATCATAGCAGCGAAGAAAAGGCACCGAAAGATTTGAGGGAATTGTCTTCACCCAAGAGTGTAGGGAAAACATGGAGAATTTTTTTGGGGGGGGGGGTGTTCAAGAACAAGTCATTTCGTTTCTATAAAAGAAGGTTACCGACAACGAAGAGTCTCCGATACCCAGACAAACGGCCAGAAATGGAGTTTCAAGAGGAAAACAGATTCGCGATAGTAGAGATCGAAGAGTCAAAAGATACCGCAGAGGTTATAGCGCCCGGAGTGAATGAAATGTAAATCTCTTACAATTTGTACCACTCCCAACTCAACAAATAGAAAGGAAAAGCCAGGTAGACTTTCAGATCGCTTGCTTTGAATACATTCATGAGTCCAAACCCCGTATTCAGGAGGAAGTAACCAGTGGAAAGATTTCATCTCCACAAGTTGCTACTGGCAGTGGCAGAATAGATGTCAAAAGGTATCGTGGACAAGGTCGTTAACCCTACAGCTATTGATGGTCGAGTTTAGCGAGAGAAGTTTTGTCTCAGGGGCAAACGTCCTTGTACTTTCCATCAGCTCTCTCATCAATCCCGTTCCCGGTCAGTGCTCAGAACGTAATGGGAAGGATCTTGAGCTTATCTTCCTTGGAACATCAAACCACACGATTAAAGCCCATGCAAACTTTTCCCTGATTGTCAATTACCACCTTGATCGTTCGATCCTGCGAAGACAATTTCGCCAGAAGCTTTCTCAAAAGCGGAATCGATCTCGAGAGTACTGAATGTATTAAATTTTTGTACCGGAGATATGTCTCATTGTCTCCCCATCCCCATATCTCTCGCTCCTCTTATCATCGCCTGCCTTCTCAACACCTCCCACCCTCCTCTTAGCCACCCTCTTTCAATCTTTTCCCTTTTTCAGTTTTGATTTTTTAATTTCTCCCTTTCTCCTTTTTCTTCCCCTCGTGGCCAAGGAATTGTAAGGCTATCGTTAGTGGTCACCAAACATTGGGTAAGGGCCTCTTCTTGCTGCTTCTAATTCGTACATACCAGCAAGACCGCAAGCCCATTGGAAAGAACCATGTCCAGCTTTTGGATTCGACGTCGCTGCGCAGGAGGGCATGCATGTTCTATTGTCCTCTCAAAAAAATCATGGTCATCTCACACACCCAAACGATGGCCCTAAATTGAGATGCCGAAATCACGAGTGTGATGATTTAATCGCCATAATATCAGGTACAGCTCTCGAGCTCGTCTCGTTGGCTCTTTGTTGCTCTTTGGCGAATTGATGAACGTGCTTTTGTACCAGCCATCTGCTCACCTTTGTGGCCATGCAAACAGTCAAGAGAATCGAAGCTGAGACCATGGGATCAGCCACACAAAAGTGTCATTTTTCAAGGCCGCGCGGCTTGGTTTAGAAAGCATAGTGTCGCCATAGTATTGTGAAAGCGGATCTCATACATTCTGGTTACAAAGAGAAAATTTATTTCCATTTCATATTGAGCAAGTGCAATTATTTGAACAACGTATCAAGTGTGAAAACGAGGCGCATAGCAATTACACACATAGAAAACCACCCTCAAACTGTCGCAGGCGTTACGATCGCGCTCTCGCTCCGAAAATCCTCCCAGGCCAACTTGAAATTGCCAGCGGCGTTTTGGTAAGCAGCCACCGCCCTTGTTTGAACCCGAACCGCTTCTTGGAAAGCTTCCCACGCCAGAATTTCTGCGTTTCTGCTTGCCGCAAAACTATATAAATCATTAGCATTCTGAACCACATATCAAATTCCAAGACAAGAGAAGGACAACTTACTTGATCTTGACCGAGGGAATGATTGTGGGTGAGGCTAGCCTATCTGAAACATCTTGTGGAATGATGACGCGCTATATATAGTCAGTAATAACACATACATTGAAGTGAAGGATGCCAACTTACTCTTGGCAAAGGTCTCTCACGGTCTGGTCGATCGCGACTGTGGTAGTTTTTGGTGCGGGACATTTGGATATCGATTTTGGATCTCTGGAGGAATTGTTAGCAGTTGTTACATATTGCTGTGTAAGATATGGGATGTAATTAAAGAATGTCAGCATATGAACATCAAGTTGGATATGTCAATCGACGGTTGTATCAATTGATAGATGGTCTTGATAAAGCCAATTGAATTGATGAAGCATTCGACGGAAGGATGATGATACTTCCAAAAGCTCTTCTTCTTCTGGGATGGCATTGAAGGAAAAAAGGAGAAGACGAGGAAGAAGAAGAAGAAGAAGAAGAAGAGGAATCGGGAATTATCTAGGCATGGTGGGACTTCGCTAAGAATGAGCATTTTGAAAGAGGAAGGAACCAGGACATCAGGTGATTCTCCCTATGTATGAATATATTGGTGGTGATGGTAGTGGTGGTTACCCAAATTGGTAGCCACACAGAGAAGCGAGGCATCGCCATCACTTCACCTTCATATTTTCGGCAATTCTTGGTTCTACTTGCACGACGAAACCAAGTCAGAACTGGTTACCCAAGAAGAGAATCCAGAGCCAAAAATACGTGTGATTATTTTGAACTCATAAGAGAACAAGACAAGTGACACTACAAATGAGGTGCAACATGCTCCATGAAAATTTTCTGATTGCCGGCGCATTTGTCTTTTTCAATATCTCTCTCGGATATCCAATGTCCCCAGTGGACTCTTGAAATCTATCTCAAGATTACTTCCTCCTCCACCTCTCTCGCTATCAGTCTCTAGTTCTATCTCAATGCTAACGCCTTGTCTCTTCATCCACCGACTATTCTCATATCATGACATTATCTTCATGAGATCTACTGCTGCTGATTCGATATATAGCACTATAGGTATGCGTGATCCTTGCCTTCAACCCATCATACTTCGGAATACCTATAATAAGACGCATTTTATAATCCAGATTGATCGATCGTGGAAATTCGCAAGTTCATTCGAAGAACGTTTGTGCTTTTCAGAATCAGTGGAGGAGATGTGATTAACTCGACGAGTCTGACTCAACGAAGACATCACTCATATCTTCGAAGCAGGACAGTCTTCTTCATTGCCAAAACAGCGTCGTCACACCATGAGAGACTGTCACGAACCAAACACATTCGTTGGATACTTCCAAACCTGCACGGCGCTTAGAAACTATCTTCGGAATTGGATTTCTAAATGAACGTATCCTCCATCTTCGATGACAATACGGACATGTTCACAACATGGGAAATGACAGGTGGACAATCACCAGAAGACCCATGTTTTACACTACAATATGCAGCCATCCCTTTGTGTATTCTGGTATTCTGTAGAGAAAATGGAGAAGGTATCGAGGTCCGTGATGTGTCATCAGAAGTACCAGAGGAACCCCAGTAGCGGCTGCACAAGATGGATCGAACAACAGGAGAGGCAAACATAGATAGACGCAAATAAAAACGTGGGAGAGAACACCACTGAGCGGGTTTATGTGAAGCAAAATTCTCTAGGTAAGAAACTCATCGAGAATGATCAATTGCTTTCTTGGGATTGAAATGGCTATTATATAGGGGATCCAATAGTTTGAAATGTACTAGGTAGTTCAATAATATGATGGTTGGAATGTTTAGAAGAGATTAGAAACCTGAAAAAAGTTCAATATTCTAATCAAATTCAAGATCTCAAATCATTTGAATGTTCTAATTGATTTGAAGATTTGATAATCTTAATTATTGTTGTACTACAGTTCGGACTATTGGATCCCTTGTGTAGTTGATTTTTTTTAGCTCCAGCGGGACGGAAAAACGGTGAAACCGAAGGCAAACACTCTTTTCAGACAATCATCGTACCTATTAGTCAAAAGATGAATAAAGATATGCCATGCCATCTGCATTCTATACTATGTGTACCTTGGTATTTCTATGTAAATTAATATTATTATAAATCCCCGAGACAAAAGTGTCTTCAATGGCCTTACATGAGAGGTTGAGTGTGGTAACAAGTCGGCCATTTGAAAAGCCGACCATTACTGCTTTTTTCGCTCAAACAAGAAGCTGAAATCCGCCATCCAATCTCCTGGCGTGTTGAACTCCACAATTTCCCTCCGAGCATAAGTGCTTGAGAACAAGTCAGTCACCAAAACTATTCGAGTACTTCAACACGAAAATCATGCTATGGCTGTGCTGCCAACAAACGGGAAGCTGTGATTGTATAAGGGTTGAATCGAAACAAAGGCAACCCATGAAGCTTCCGCTATGATGTCTTGAGTTGTGGGGAATATGCTCATGCAATGACCCGTGCCACGTCTGTTCCACCACCTCCTCGGACTCTCAAGCAATTGTTGGATTCGGACAGCTTTCGAGAATGCGTAATCCGAAGCTATTTTTACTTACAAGTTGTCAATGCATTAGTATCACAGGTACGACATTGAGAGATGTCTAATATGGAGATCTTCGCCGCCTCGAATTATATAAAGGACAAGAAAGCCAACTTTATTGCTTTACAACATACAACCAAATCACTACAAGACGAATCTCATCAAGTCACTCAACCACCTCAGCATTAACAATTTACATTCCAAATCTCATAACCGCAATCATGAGCCCTATTTCCCGAGTCGTCACCTTCACTCCTAAGCCAGAGAAGCTCGAGGAAGTAAGTTTATTCCTTCCACCGAATCCCCAAGTCATCTTCTTATTGTCTTCGATTATCTATTCACATTCTCTAACGCAACACTTTAACAGTCTCTGTCCGAAGGTGCTAAGTTCGCCAAAGTTGTTGAAGACAACGAGCCAGGCTGCCTTATGTACAAAGTATCGAAGACCAAGCCTTTGTCAGGTGATGGCCCAGAGCAAATTGTTATGGCTATGATGTAAGTGACTTGTCTTTCACACGTTACCCTTTGTCCTTTCCTCTTCCATTTCATATATCCCGGATTTATGGCTGACTAGATCTTACAGATTCAAAGATGAGGCGGCTTTCAAAGCTCATGAGGAGAGTGCTCATGTTCAATCATACAAGGCTGATAGCAAGGCAGCCGAGTTTTTGATGGCACCACCCGATATTAGAGTTGTAACTCCTGCTGGAGGATTCAGCAGAACTTAATTATTTCGAGGGTTCTAATCAGGGTTAAACTCTTTATCTGTATTGCATTGTTTAGATATCCAATGAAGCGCACGTTAACAGCATCCATTTTGATATTTAAGTGAATGGTTATCCTCAAAGTATTCTCTGTGAATCATTGACTCACTAATTGCCATTCCAATTATGACATGAAGCTCGACGACGACAAGAGATCCTTACTAAAGGCAATTTGTAGTCATTTTGTTCCTACCACCATACTGTGAATGATCTGAACATAGTTCTGATACCGAAAGGCAGATAGATAACTACTTTCATCAGAACATGCATCATTAGTTCACTACAGGTGTCCAATGAATCAGGAGAGTAAGTTGATATGTGTCAACAATAGCTTGGAGGGAGGACCTGAATTCAAGATGATCACACCGGGTAACAGTCATAAACATCGAAAATTTAGTTCTCAGGATATTAGTGGCTACACTTCTCCAATGACATACAAACAGATTTCAAACTAAGGGTGTCTGATAGTCCGAACTGCAGTCCAACAATCAAAAGCTTTAAAACATTCAATCCCTTCCTAACATTGAAATAGATTTGGTTGTTGAACTATTTTCATGAGATTGATAATAGGATCTTCAGAATTTGCCCGCACTATTGAAAAAGCCATTATAACTTCAGACTTATCAGCCACGCAAGTGAACCAGAGGTAGGAGAATTAAAAGAGGATGGCGTGGGGAGAAGTGATTTGGCTGTCAGGGTTGAATTAGCATTTAACTCCATGCACACCTAGGTGATACCCCGCCCCCGCTATATCAAGAACATTACTTATTAGCACCGTGCGATGATGTTCATCTCATGAATTAAATACACAACATTGAAATATCTCATCATAAAATGGAAAAGCGTCGGTCTTTTAGATCCCCGGAGAATTGGCTTCAGTCCTCCAAGAGATACGTCATCGCCTTCACTGCATTTGTGATCCTTATCTTCGTCGTACAACTTGTACCAAATTTCGCGGTAAGCGTCCGCCACCAGCCTAGAAGATAGATTCAATATTAACTAAAAGCAAATAGTCTTGGCAATTGAGATCATTGATGGTTGGAGATATTGGGTTGTCCAGATACGAGAAGTTTCGGAGATGCTCTGTAAACACATTTCTTGAAACCGGTTTGCCATGGCTAGAAACCGCTTCACCTATCGTACTCTCAGAGTTCGTCCAGCGGAGAGATAATCTAGCTGTCGCTCTTGATAGTGATGAAATAGATGCATTTATCGTTGAGCCAGGATATACATTTCAATATTATGCCAACGTTAGTCAAAAAGCCTGGGAAGTATGGGAGCCTGAAGAGCGACCATTTCTCATGATCATTACACCTCATTTTGATACAAGTTTGAGGAGGGTTGTTGCAAAGACATCATTTCTGGCACCGCATTTCGAGGAAGGGAGAGTAAGAATGCTCGGTATGCCTTTTGAAGAGGACCTGTACATCGTTACTTGGGAGGAACACTGGGATCCTTATTTGACGCTTTTGAAAAATTGGCATAGTGTTGTCGGTAAGAAAGATGCAGGATCTACTCAAGTTCCAAAAGTGATGGTCGACGAAGAAATGAGAGACTTCATCCAGAGAGGCCTCGGCGAAAATGGCTTCGAAGTGGTGGGACTTGCTGGCAGTGTGAAACGAGTGAAGCAAATGAAAACAGCTGGCGAAGTAAATATCCTCAGGGCGGTCAATACAGGAACTGTCGAAGCACTGCGAGCTATGAGGAAGTGTATGGTGACAGGCTTAACTGAAAACGAGGTCATGGCTGGACTTGACAGTACAATGCGAGCTGGTGGAATGGATCCATTCTTTGATATCGTGCTTTTTGGTAAGCCAATAATTGATTCTCTCAAGTTCTCTCGCAAAATTGTTCTCCATTATTTCCTATTCCTATTTTACACCTACCTTCCCACTATATAAAACTGGCTTGTGACGCAAATCAATTTTTTGTGCCTACTAATCATCTCACACTTCTCATTTGGACGGAAAGGAGTATGAAACATAACAAAGAATAGTATTGATCTTCTAATAGATGAGAATGCTGCAATGCCACATGGTGGACCAAATGGAAGTAAAGTTCTGGAAGAAGAGACCCTCGTGTTAATTGATGTCGGGTGAGCTTGAAGCACTTCACTCCTTGAATGTATCTAAGCTAATGTGATAACTCAAAAGTTCTCATCTATATGGATATTCTTCAGACATTTGCCGAACATTCTTTCCACCCTTCTTCTCGGAACCGAAAGATCTTTCGCTTCTTTCACCAATCGTCCAACACAAAATCGCAATTTGGGACGTAGTATTCGAGGCACAAACTAAAGCACTAGATGCATTGAAACCGAATTCATCATGCGCTTCTGTAGATATAGCAGCTCGAAATGTCATCGCTGATGCCGGCTACGAGAAAGCATTTACACATCGCGTTGGGCATGGAATTGGTATCAAGGCGCATGAGAGTCCTTATTTGAATAAGGGGAATGTAGAAGAACTCCTGGATTTAGGTATGGCGTTCACGTTAGAGCCTGGAATATACCTTGAAGAGAAGTTTGGCGTGAGGCATGAAGACGTTTTTGTCGTGAGAGAGAATAGCGAAGCAGAGATTCTTACAGGTTCCCGGGCGAAAGGCCCATGGGATCCATGATGCAGTGCGGATGATATTGTAATTGAAACATGAGCAGTTATCCGAAGCCCGAAGGACGTTGCAGCAATACACTACAGGGTCAATACCGACCAAACCAATCAGTAGTTTAACGTTTATAATGGTCAACCAATGGAAACTATTCCATGTGACAATTCATTTTTTGTTGCACGTCGTAGGGCGAGAGGGCGAGAGGGCGAAAAAAAGGGCGAAGGGCGCGAAAGCCCGAGGTGTCAGGGGCTAAAAGGGCGAGGGCCGACGACATTTTAGCAATTTCATTGGCTAGCTAGATTGCCGGAGGAAAAAGAGAAACCTGTGTTATTCTCATAATTATCTCATTTACTTTGCTTGAATTGATATTGAAGAGCTTGAATTGCATTCTGGTGTAAAAGGTTTCCTGCGTTTGGAATTAGAATTCGGGTTGACAGAAAAGCACCAAACCAAAAATTATGGGGCACAACTAATAAGCTTCATTTTAACTACATTCGGGCAAAATTTCCATCGCTTCCTTATCTCAGATCAACGACGACCCCTTCATTCAACATTCAACATTCGCCATTTTTTCTGCATAAGAATGCATCAGCTACGGGAGCTAAGAACAATCAGCCGGTTAAGCTCTTAAGGTATCGAGGGTATCTGACGCAAAGATACCGACGATGCACGTTCCATCTACAGATAGTCATACCCCCAAATAATATCTAGAGCGATAGCTAAGACATGTCGATACCTATCAAAAACACAACCTGAATTCGAATCCGAAATCCGCCCGTATGCCTTTCTTGTCGTGCCCGAGCTCCAAATGTACCCCTCCTTAGATTTCAGAAAGGCATATCATACCCCGCGCATTTCCTATTTCAGCAATACAGTCCATGGAATACATTGAGAATACCTCATATGGCAAATGTTCTTGCTACAGTGGGATGGCTCAACAACTTGGTGGTTTCGCATCATCGGGAGCTGATAGCAGTGATGGATATATAAGATGAAGGCACCATGGACGAAGAAAGCGAATCTTTCCAGTTCGACACACACTCTTCTTATTACCTGCAGGAACACAAGATATACCTTACAATAACTTCATATTCACGAATCAACTCTCTTCAAGAACTGTGCAAGTTACTGTGAGAAGATAAGAACTCAAGGTATGAATACGGTCATGATCCTATTCAATATTCCCATTTCCTTGGTCACCACATATCACCTTTATAACAGCTTACTATCTCATCCATACTTCACCCTCATCGCCCTCTTTATCCATTCATCAAGACTAACAATGGGTTCTATGATCAGTAAAGCTAAATCGTCCAAATCCTCACCAAAAACTGAAAAGATGTCTTCTCTCCCATTCACATACCACGCCAATGCTCAAACCGAGTTCAAGCCTCCTCTCATTGCCAACGAGAACGCATTCCTCGGTGATGTGGCAGTGTCTACCGATGAAGCTGCACCACTATCAGCTGGCTTCTACAGATTAGAAAAGGGCACACCATTGATCTACGAATACACATACCATGAGATGAAGATTATCGTTGATGGAGAGTTTGATATTAGCGATGAAACTGGACAGAAGGTCCATGCCACCAAGGGCGATGTTTTCTACTGTAAGTTGCTCAGAAATACTTTGGAAGCCTACACTCTAACTTGGTTTAGTTCCAAAGGGAAGCAAGATTACTTTCACTACAGAAACTTTCGGGTTGGGATTCTTCGTTGGACAGAGAAAGGTGTGTTTCAAAAAAGCTTCACGTACTTGAATATGACCTAACTATTTGACAGACTGGAACCGCATAAGAGTGGAATATCAGTCAATTGGAATCGGATAATGGGATAATGAATTATGGAGTCTATCTGCTGTTTGTAAATACAATTAGCAATGTCATGAATTATGATGCACTACTTGATGATCTCGTCTGATACTACTTGTCCTTGATCTACGATTTTCTGGCTAGTGCCGAAGATTATAGAACCCTATCATTTTTTGGGTTGTTTCATTGGCCGTGTTCTCATTAATTAAGTACTATGACATTACTCATATCTCATCATATGTACGATTGCCCATCGAGTTCAAACACCTGCGTCATGCTGTCACCTCTCCGACCATTCCTCACAAATATACCACCATCCAACTCCTTAATACTTATTCTCTCTCTGCTCCACACCATATCCCCTTCCATCTCCCTCGCGCTTCTTCTACCACTTCGTCTTCCACCCACCACAGGCGTGGCAGCTAATTCCCTAACACTCACTCTTCCAGTCCTCCCAGCAACTGCCCCTGCCACATCCAATTCCTGCAATTCCCCGTGATCATCATACAACTCATGGATCCCATCAGTTTTTGCAAATGGCTCCATCACTTCTGGAAGATTGCTGAAGAAGAAATTCGTAGGACTTTCGGCTGTGGGGGTAGTAGATTTGTTCTTTTGCGCTCGTCGGTATTTTCCTATCCAGATGAGAGTGAAGATTAAGAGGAGGAGGAAGACGAGAACTCCAAGTACGATGCCGATCAGTGCTTTGGGATTATATTTGGGAGGATTCTTGGGGGCTGGGGCGGTAGAATAGGAGGGGCTGGGAGATGGGGTTCCGCTGGCGGTGGTGGTAACTAAAACTGTGACGCCCACGGTGTTTGTTTGGCCGAAAAATGAGGTGACGAGGGAGCCAGAAACGGTGAATACGGATTCTCCTGAAGTGAGCGAGTTTGACACACCTAGTGCAGAATCCGTGGACTTTTCTGGAAGGGATGATGGGGCTGATGTCGAACGAGGCACCGACGATGCTACGGTTTTAGAGTTGGATCCTGAGGTAGATGACTTGGTGACAGAGTTTGATGGCGAATTCGACGCTGACGCTGGTGCTGACTCTGAATCTGAAGCTGAAGCTGGACTTGGACTAGTATTCGACACAGCTGAAGGTGCGGCCGCTGCAGATGGTGGTGACCATGTAGATAATGGTCCAGCAGCTGTGGTCGTCGCAACTAGCTCAAAAAACTGCGTAGTAGTTCCACTGCGCACGTCCAGAATGAATACGACTGGTCTGCCCAGGCCACCAGAATAGCATTCAAGCAAAATGGGGAACTTCCGGAGCTATACATTCTTTTAGTATGTATTTGCTTCAGGTGAAGGATAGGACACACCATTCCTGAGTAAAGTAGCCGGCAACATTACTTTCTCCACAACCACTAGAACAGGTACCCCGATCTTTGCACCGAACTGCAATGTTGCAATCAAGAAGTTCTGTAGTTGCAGTGCCGTAGAATCCCCACACCGATTCGTCGGTATCGTAACGGCAATCTGAGCCTGAAGGCGCAACACGAGGAATATTTGCATTACCGTTCAAAAAACCACAAGTGCTCGTGAAGCTGGTGGTTTGGCGGGCTTGTATTCGTGGTAGGGTTGGCAGGGTGGGAAGTGGCATTCGAGGGGTGATTACCGAGGCCAGGCATGTTGATACAAGAGGTAAAAAATACAGGAAATTATACAGATCCATCTCGAAAGCACAAGATGAAAGGTACTATCCTGCTATTTCGTCCATTTCGACCAGCGAAAAGTACGAAAAGTCCAAGCCAAAATCGAACTTATCACAGCGAGGGAACCCTCATAATATGATAATTATCGTTTACGATAACGGCGGCTATTACTACCACATTAAAGATCAAAAAAAGAGCCCGCAGTTCTGTAACACAGGTGGCGTTTTCTATAGGGCTAGAGGTGCTATTGTGGTACCGGCTAGCTGGGTACTTGGCTAAAATAGTTAACAACCGCCCAACAGTTGGTACTAATTATGCAGGTCCAAAACTACAAGTCACTCCCTTCAAACAACACTTTGGAATTGGAGCTGAAGAGCCTCTAATTATCGAAATTATTTGAAAAATTGTCGATCTACTCTCTAAGCTACTGAATAAGAACTCCGAGACCTGCAGTTTATCACAATATGCTACGTCTTATAAACATCACTTTCTTGATGATCGCTCATCATGTGAGATCAATATCCTGATTCAACTACAGAGAAGCAAAACAACTATTCCTTCAGTAAATTCCTGAAAAAGCAGCAGAGCTCAGTTTCCGTACTATTTTTGGGCTCCGAAGCCCATCAGCACGTCTATCAACTTGACCACCATGTATCTCAAAAATCTCACTCCTTGCTGTCGTGCCTGGTGACTCGCTGACTGGCTCTCGTTTTACGACTTTCGCGGTAGACGTGTGTCGTCTCTTCAAAAAGACGACGACGATGATTGTAAGAAGGATGAGACTGAGACCTCCGAGAGCCCCGCCAATGATGGCACCTACTGGCAAACTGCTTGATGGGTATTCTGTGCTAAATGGGGCTATACCAGTGTTAGATGTGGCTGCTGGATCGTCGGTTATGGTTGATGATTTGATAGCAGGTTTAGAAGTTGATACTTTAGGATTCGTGGCGAATGACGAGGAAGATACAGTTACTGTTTTTTCCAGAGTTGATATGCTTACCGCTGCTCGTGATGAGGAAGATATGGTTGCTGGCATGGGAGACGTAATGGTGGGAACCGCAAGCCAAACAGCTGAGCCAGGAGCATTTGCACACGTAATATGCGTATAGGTCTGATAATTAGACACCAGCAGTTCCGAAAAGCAGTAAGGCTGGCTATTTGAACAATTCAGTAACTTCCTATAGCTTGTGAAAGAGCAATACATACCAAGTCGTGGAGATTAATTCGGAAACCCCGCAACCAGCAGAGCATGCTCCTTTATCAAAGCAGTACCCGAAGAGTCCACAATCAGCAACAGTAACAGCGTCTGAGCAGAAGCCCCATAAGCTGTTCTGAGCGTCTTTGCCGCAAAAATATCCAGGTGCTGCGGATCGAGGAAACATTGCGTTTCCATTTGCGTACCCACATGTCTCCCCAGAAGCGGTTGCTTGACGTTTCTCCCTTATAATTGGCACTTTGGATGTAGTACTTGGAATGGGTGATGGTATTACGATGAGAGAGGTATTGATACCATGAATCAGAGCCCAAAAACCCAGTGAAATCATTTTTGTCTATTGACCGCCAGGGAGTGCAATCAAAGCCCAGGACTTAAGATGCCCAACAAAAGAAAAAAGAAGGATAGGGACGAGCCCTGATTTTGCAGACATGGAAAGAGAATGTTCTCATCCATGCGGGAGCCCGTTGCTGTTACATTTGAAACGTCCTTCGATTATGTTTCGCGTAATGTAATGCTTACTTCTGTAGGAACAATGGATTGCTGACTCTGGGTAAGATACTTGACCCTTCCGGAAGCGAATCTTCAAGTTAAGTGTAACAATCATCGATCTTGGATAATGAGATCGTCAAAGTATCGTATTGTTTTCTCTGCAGAGGCTACATGAAAAAGAAATATTATTTCACGATCTAGATTGGAGAAAGTTCCTGATTGAGTAATTATCTCCTGGCGCCTACGACTTACCTATTTTTTCGGTTCCAATCTATCGGGGCAATTTCGTCGCAGCAAATCACTTTGGGATGAGATTCATGGGTTAGTGGACGCTGGAGGATATTGATCACTATGGGATTACAGTCATTACCCTGTATTGATGCGCTTGAGAGTGGCCCAAATGGTTTTGGAGCTGTAGCAGCCATTTCATGCAATTCGTCAAGACCCCATCACGTACTCTACGCTCAGCGTCAATCATGAATCATCTTCAATACAGCTACAAATATCAGGCTGGATTCGTTGAAGTTCCTGCACTATCATCTCCAGTTTAATACTACCAAAATGCTTCTCAAGCCAGCGCGATTTACCGTCGCGTTTGTTCTCTTAATAATCGTCCTCACACATTCCCTGATTGCATATCGATATTTCGTCCATTCGAATGCGAGTCAACGTTCAGATCGTACCCCTCCGGCTCTTGAGACATTTCACCAGTTACTATCGAACGTTCAACCCAGTGTCAAGTATTCTACTTCCTGAGACTGGAAAGCCCACTCGGAGTGACAAGATATCACTTGAATCTGCGGCGCTGTGACGGCAGACCAAAGGGTGTATCCGTAGGGGGTGTGAATTGGTAGAAAGGTATATACTATTGTCCATCCCTATATGTTGTGGCTACTGTAAGAATACCGCCGATACTGTGCATCTGGCTCACTCGTAAACGCAGTAAACTTGGACCTTATCCAAGGACTCACTTATCAAGCTGTTTATGATTCAGGTCTCAAATGAAGATTGCTATTGTAGCATCTGTTTGGATGAGATACTCATCTCTGTCTGCTCGTAGAGACCGCGTTCGGGATCATGTATTAGCAGTGTACTAAAAGAGTTTGAGAGAGGCGCCTACTATGTTTGGAAGATTGTTTGAGAAGGTATTACTTGTAGGAACAAGATATGGAGGACGTCCAATTGAATTCTTCAAAGTCGTTGTTGGTTGGAAGCAGGGTATCCCATAGTCCGAACTGTAGTTCCAGCAATATAAGATTTTGAATATCTTAAAGCAACCAAAAGCTTGAAAATGATTCAATGTTTCATTCAAATTCAATACCTCAAATAACCTGAATGTTCTGATTGATTTTGAGGAATTTGACAATCTTCAGTGTTGGACTGCAGTCCGGACCACTCTGGTTGGAAGCATATAGGGCCTGGTATATCCGTTCATGAGGTATTGCAGATGTTAAAGAATAGAGAAGAAAATCTTTGTTTTGGGTGTTATAGCTGGAAGAAAGAAAGAAAGATTGACGAGGAGGAGTGTATATCTAAGAAGTTCAAATAATAGAGTAGGAGATTACTAGAAATTGATTCACTACTGATTCTTGCTTTTGTGCTCGATTTTTTGGATTACAAGCTCTGTATTTATTTTACAATAATAACCCCATATAGCATCATTCCATATATTAATACCTCAAATATCAAAAGTGCTAATTGAAATCTAGCATATACTATTTCAGATTGTTTTGATTTTCAAAATATTGCTATTTTAGTTTCAATTTGAAAAGTATTAATTTAATCTAAATTTATAAAAATATTAATATTCTGATTTCAAATTCAAAAATAATATTAATTTAAATACAATACAAAATTTGGATTTTTTATTCAAATTATAATTAATTAAATCAGGAAATCAGATTTTAATCTCAAATTAAATTTCAAAGCTTTTATTTCTTAAACAAACTTTATTTTATTTTGTATTCCTTATTTTTATTAATATATTTTTTAGATATTCTTCTTTTTTTTTAATTTCGATATAAGAAAAGTAAAAAAAAAAAAGTAAAAAAAAATTTATAAATTTAAAAAATTAAAAAAAAAAGATTTTAAATTTATAATTATTTAATATATTTTATATTATATTACAATTAGAATATAACTTTTGGGATTAAAATGATACATAGTTTTTGAAATTAGAATAATATATGATTTTTAAAATCAGAATATTATATATTTTTGAGATTAGAATATCAATTTTTTATTTAAATCAAATTGAAACTAAAATAACAATATTATCAAAAAAAATCGAGATTGAAATATCAAAAATATTAATTAAAATCATTTTGATTATATTCCTAATATTTGAGATATTAATATATGAAATAATGCTATATAAGGTTATTACCGTTTATTTTACTGTTATTAGTTAATCTTTGCTGAAGGATTTGAAAATTTGTTTCTCTGTGCTTCGGGTAGTAGTGAATTCAAAAATGTGAATCTTCACAGACATCCAACGTTTATGGGGAGATGAAGGCTCCACTTCTTCTTCGAGTTAATGTGACTTCTTAACAATGGAGCCAAAGTTTCATTACCCTGGAATAAGTAGAGATAGGAAAATAGGAAGTGAGCTGGTAGAAGGGAGTATGATGTATTGTATGCTGGAACTTTCTCCAACTTGTGCTTTGTTGTTTGACACCAGTAGGAGGCTGTGTTATCTGATTTAAGAGACTGAGGTCTACTCTAAATGTGATTGTTGTTGAACGACCAAGAACATCTCTTTAGATCATTCGAAAAGATTACCTAGGTAGCTGCTCAGCTAGATATTATTTTGAATGTTCTTGTGTAGACTTCGTCTTCATCGGTAATGTAATTTCCGAACACTTCGAACCAACTGTTGGTATTTGAACCTCATCTACCTATTGGTCAGCCACAACAATAACATATGAGAAAGTTCTCCGAAGTGAATAATTGTTAATACGACTACAAGAGATTGTTATACCGTAGCGTCTTTACTTCTTTCACCTTGTCAACATCCTCGACCTTTAGAAATGTCCGAATAACATCTCCACACCACAACCCCAGATTGAAGAGATGTCTCGAAGTATTTTGATCCTTGTTTTCATCATCACCATTTGTTTTGCAAACAACGTTACCTCCAAAAAGATTGCGCTTACTGGCTTCAAGCATAAGAATCCTTCTCCAACCAAAACTTTCATTTCGTCAAGCATCAAAGTCTCCACGAGAGCACCTGCGCCCACTACCCCTCCACAAAAACCGGACTTTCCGACATTTCATGTGGTCAAACGAGTGACAGTGGCCGAATCATGCGGCAACTATCAAATTCCGAATTTTGATCTCGAATTATACCCCAGAGATGTCTGTCTGGTCGACGAGAATGGATTGATGTTTGGAACTTGCCAAACTGGTATTTCAGATCCGAGGAGTTGTGGTTGGGCAGGGGTCTGCGTCGACAAGCATGCTTGTACAAGTAGTTGTGGAAGGACATCAGTTCCAAATATAGGTGTTACAACTTGGTATGTGAGCTTTCTATAGCTTTGTTACTTTCAAATCGCAAAATCTAAAACAAAAGTTGGAAAACCCGAAGGGCAAATAGATAGAGAAATAATTCAAGGATTGCAATGGGCTCTAAAACGGACTATACTGATATTCTAATCCAATAGCGGTGATAATAAGGATGGGAACGACTATTGTGCCATGTGGTATCTCGTTTCGGATACATATATCTATACATCCATCACATGTAGTGATAAACAGAGCTGGAAAACTTGGGATGCCACTTTGGTCACACCGATTTCTGTAGATCTCGCCACCAATTTTCAAACCACCACAGCAACGTCGAAAACTTCAAAAACGTCGGCAACGCCAATACCTACAATGTCATCAAAAAGTTCAAGCACACTGACCATCTCAATTGGAAGCCCAAGCGGCGAAGGTAACAGCACCGTCGATACAGGTTCTCCAGATAGCAATCACTCCCTAGGTGCCATCATCGGTGGAATTTTGGGTGGAATTGGTGCTGTCTCAATTTTGGGGTTTCTTGCCTGGTTCTTTCATCATCGCAGAGAGTCAAAGAAAAGAGCCAGCAGAGCACTTGCATACGATCCTGGACATTCTTCCTCTGAAGTTCATGACTTGCCCAATGCAATGAGTGCGACTCAAGCGGAGTCTGCTCATCACTCCGTAAGGTCGTCGAAGCCCCCCGGAAGCCCTAACCAAGGATATGTCCCGACGGGATATACGGATAGTCCATTTGGTAGTCCGGGTGTTGATAATGGTAGTATACATACCGGTGGAATACTGACTCCAAGCGCTATCAGTCCAAGCATGAGTCCGAGTTTCATGGCACCGGGTGACGCACAAAGCATGCATAGCGCCTATGCTGACCGGCCTTTGTATGAAATGCATGCGGATCAAATTGTTCATGAGATGCCTGCCGATCCCATCGGACCTAGAGAGTTACCAGCATGAAGGTCAAGCGATTTTTGACTATGCATCGTCTACGGAGTTGGGGATCATTGCAATGGGGGGTTTGAAGGGTGCACTGCACATATGGCGTTATTCGGAAGTTGGAGCTTGTCAATGGGTCGAGCGTTTCGAAGAATCATATTTGGAGTTTTCTAGGGCTGCTAATTTCATGACGGGAGGGAAATGGACATACAATTTCGTTTTGACATGGTTTCGAAGATAGGGGATAATAGATTCGTAGGTAATTATCGGAATTTATTCAGGGTCACTCAGAGTCTTCTCCTTAGAGTTGCCTCGTTGGGTAATCCTATGATATAGATTTCAGATTTCCTAGTTAATTAGATCACACAAAACGAGGAATAATTAGGGTTTATAAACTCAAAGGGTAATAACTTCACGTACAATTTTAAGCTCACTTGTTTCGAGGGTAAAGAGATGAGCATACAGGTGGCTGAGGGGTATAGTATGCCACTGATTGTGAGATCTTAGAATGGTATAACATTTAACTTGTTCTCGAGCCGGTGTCATGGAGACATCATAACCTTCTCCATCCACCTCACTGATCCTGCGTTCCCATAATGACCTAGCCTCTTCCCACCCTACACGTGATGATAGTAAGGCCTACCCCGCTTTTAGCCAGTCCTCAAGCTCTTATCTCTTCAATCTTACATTAACCTCACGGAGTACATCTCACATTTCTTGCACTCATATCGTCACATGTGTAACCATCGATTTTCGATTATTTTGTCAGATTCTAGACCGCCCCTTCTTCTTCTTCCACTTTGTTCTGGTGAAAACTTTGAATCGTATCAATTGAAAGGTTTGCAGGAGCTAAAAAGTTGACATATGCACTATTCCCACCCGAATCCACTGATTTGCGGAGTATTAGGCTTGTGATAGTCTTGTGTTTTTCTAGTCATTTTCTAGTGCGTTGAAAAAGTCCAACCGAATTCAAAGGGAACTCAAAGGGAACTCAAAGGGAACTCAAAACCAACTAGACGGGTCCGAACGGGTAAGAATCAGACCACTTAATGCAGGTTTCCTTCTAGCTTCCTTTTATGGTTCAATTCAAAATTAATTATGTGGACTGGGGGACTTTCGCCAAGAAGGGGCATTCATCGAGGTTACATTTGATCGAAGTGATTTGTGCAACACGAACAACAGAAACAATCGAATTGTAACATCACACAGATACGAGAAAGGGGAAACAAATTAAAGCCAAAGTGGAAATCGGAACTGAGATCGTGAGCATTGGATTGATTGTTTGTCAACCACATAGACAATAGGCAAAGGAGAACAAAGAATATTGGAACTAAATTTCCAACCTTTGCTGCAATTCAGTATATCGACGAAACCTTTTCAGCGAGACCTTGCACAGAGACAAACGGATTTGAAATACTGGTCTGAAGAGTATTGGACGAACACCAACTCCGAACCTCGTTATCATATGTTCCTAGATTCGCAAACGATAAGCAGTGTTTATGGTTCATACGACACCGACATTTACGCCTCCTCACAATTCAATATTGTGACTAATTTGATATCAAGACAGTGATTCCAAAAGCGCCACCACTCGATGAGGCACGAGACCATTCAGGAACTACAATCGTTGCTGAGAATCAATTTGCGAACAAAGAAATTTCTCACTGTACCTTTCAACGCACCTTCGATTATTCCAACGAATCTCGATAAATAAGCCTTCAATCTGCTAGTATCCTTGATTTCCTCACATTCAAATCCAAATCCAAAAGCAACAACACCCCAAGCACCCACTGTCTGTTCGACAATTGAAGCAAAGTCGTCCTCGGACCTCGGGCCTCTGACTTTGAATATTTACAGATCCATATTCGAAACCTTGCAATCTGCGTCAAAGCCGCCAATACTGAATCATCCTCCTAAACCTGCAAGAGTTTTTTTCGAACGACTCACCTATAATTATACCCTTATAGGCCCGTCTGATCGGGTTTTACGCCTGCAAAAGATGTTTCTGCAGAAGCTTCGATCCTTTTCCTTTCCATTAAATTCCAAGACTCCTCCAGAGGACGATAAAAAGCATCATCAACGTCGCAAATCACTCAGAACTCCTAAATCTGAACATAAAAACCCTCTGTCACCATCTACAACCAATTCCACGAATGGCTCTCATAGTGATCCGCCGAAAACAAGCATATGTGCGGAAGTCAAAGAGACGTACAAAGTAAACAAAGGGGTGGATGAGAATCTAGAAGGACAAGACTTCAAAGAATATTTGGAGAAGTGTAGAAAGGCAGAAGAGGCAGATGAAAGAAAGAGGAAGAAGATGGCCGAGAAGAGGAAGGAAGTTAATTTAAGCCCGTGGGCCCGGAGGATGTGAAGTTACACAAAGGAGAGAGATGAGTTGTCGACTCACCTTCTCACTCTGTTTACGAAATGGAGGAAAAGAAAGCCGGCCTATTCGGAATCCTTGATACACAAAGACACGACAACACACACAAACAAATTGAGGAAACGACGACACAACACGCATATGCCCAACTTCCCAGAAACCCCTCAGTGTATTTTTGATGAGTACATGATACACTGTGGAAGTAGAACGCAAAATCTTCCTGCCAATCCACTCTCAAATTGTAGCTTTGGTTGTTGCATAAATAACACAAGGACAACTCGGTGGACATTTCTCGTACGAAATTAAGAAAGACGAGATATTCACGAACCTCGAATCCAGCCAACAGCCCTATCCCCATCCAAGTATGAAATCTGAGCTTGAAGCTCCATCTCCTCGATTTACCTCCATCCGCAACAAACGATGCATACTAGAACGCTATTTCACGACCGCACGATATCCAAATCTCTCTTTCCTTAGCCAGCGCCTTTTTTACCTCAGTAGATCCCTCAAACCATTCTCATAGCTTGATTTTGTTATTCCCCCCACTTTGTTGCGATTAAGGATTTATATTTTCGCGTCAAGTCTTTCGATATTCTGAATCAAGAATATCTTTTTGTAATTTCTAGTAAATCAATTTTTTGGTCAATATATCATACCAAAGCAAATTTGATTTTGTTTGATTTTATCATATACAACTTCCATCATTTTTCGTACGTCTTTTAAACCTATATGTATTTACCATATTCTGTACCCCAGAATATGTCGAATATTTTGTGCATATTGCGTGCTCCTTCAGCCCATTCATTCCACATCTAATTATGTTGCTTTGCATGAGTATGTCTCGCTAAATAGGTATGCTTATACTCCGTATATTTGATAGGCTATGATATGAAACAACCAACGCCCGCAGCTTCTGCAAGACATACACATCTATCATGGAATATATATTCAAATATATGCGATGTTCACTCGCTTGCTAACTGAATGCTATCCATATACAGAACGCACTCGCGCGCCAGTGAAAAAAGTGATTGATCCGTCATCAATAGCTACCATTTTTGATCCTCTGATTCGGATATATCAACATACTAGATCTATCCAGTTCCATAAAATGTCAATCATCGAGAAGCCAATGTATATTCCAAGCATTTTTGTTTTTATTTCCTATGTTTAGCTGATTTACTGCCCATATTGTTGTTCATAAGAACATCTACCGGTATGTGAACCCATAGGTGTGAGCTGAAACCAAGCTTTCAGCTTGAGCAAGGCTCTGGACTCACTGCTTTGATCTACAGGTTTCTTGGTACTTCGAAACGACAGCTCAGCCAACACGACATGAGGATACAACATGATAAACCATGGCACGGTGAAATGGTAAGACTTGTACATCAGAGTGCAAAAACGATATACCAAGTTTGTTACACCGGAGATTGTACGAGTTGAGATTAGACATTCCAGTTCTACCATTTCGTCTCCAACTTGTCGGCATCACCGATCGTTTCTCTTTAATAAGTCATGACATGAATCTCTCCAATCTACTTGACTCGAAAAATATCCTTATCCTTATCTTATCACCCCTCCAAGAGAATCCCCACCATCCATTTCAAAATCTCATTCTCTTTGCCTCCACCACGAGTTCCACTTTTCCGATTATACCCCGGGAAATCACGACCGGGCGAATTGCGGCATATCTCGTTTTCTCTCCCTAGATCCCAGATCGTCATCCCCCAGGTTTCGGGATACTCAATCGAGTTAGCTTCCGGACGTTTATAGGAAACCCGAGAAGGGTTTGGCAGATCAGGGACTGCGTGCGCAAATCATGCGTCGGATCTGGGGTGATCGTTTGGGATTGTATGTTCATTTATTCAGCAGACTGGCAAGAAGGGGGGTAATTACTCGTGAGGGAGCGTTTACCGATATATTATAACATTATAGACTGTAAGAGCCAAGAGAGTAGAGAATAGAAATGCTGGATCTAGTGATTCGATTATAAAGTTTAGCAAAACTGTGGAAAACGTGTGTACAAAAATCCTAGGGCAAGACGAGTAATCAAGATCTATATCAGAAACATACGCATATATTCTGACTAGCACCGTCTGATTATCCACTACAAAATTACCCGCCCTATCCCATCTATATTCCCCACGTAAAACCTAGTATATTGAATATATACATACACCCGTTCACTGCGATCGTACATAAATAGTCTCATCTCTCCGTGCTACATCTCCATCTCCCTTCGTATTCTCCGACTCCATCTCCGCATTCTAGCTTCACATACACATACACGCAAGTTGAACTTTGCACCTTACTACCACAGCCCAATTCCCCGTTTCATCCAGACACCTACCTATCCACCTGCCTACCTAGTCATCTATCAAATCTCGGATCTTCGATCTCCATCCACCATATCCAACACTGTGGCACTCGAAATTTGAAATTTGAATACTTCTCAAATAACACCAAGCGAACCGATCTCCCACGCTCCACACGATCATTCGAGTCCATCCATCATCTATCCATCTACCCATCCAAACCATCACCATCAACCCGGAATCCCTCATCCCGAGAAAATCCCCGAATCCGTCCATCCATCCGACGCACCATCACTCATCCGTCTTCGATCTAGAAACTCCGCAACATTCAGACCCCCTCCTTCTTGATCGAGACATCTAACACTCTGGATAGTCCAGTCACCTACCTATAACACTATATTCACACATACTGTAGCATATAGAGCAAAAAAGCGCAAACAAGTTACACGACTCCGTCGACCACTCTATATAATCACAAAATCCGCATCCATCTCATCTTTGCTTTGCATCGACCGATCAGATCGATCGCAATCCATCCATCTATCTCTGTCCCACTCAGATCCCCAAAATTCCATCAGCACACCTCCTAAATCCTTTCTTTCTTTCTTTCTTCTTTCTTTCAACTAGTCACTGGTTATATATATTAGTTTGACTCCAGCCCGTATCACCTCACCTCACCTCACCTCACCTCACATTACTTTCCTTCCCTCTCCTCCTTGATTCCAAATTTCAAATCCCATCACGTTTTTCTCCCTCGCACATTGCTTCGCATTCCCACAATTCCAATTCCTCTCGACAGACGAACAGCACACCGATTCTGCGTTACGCATTACGCTCACGATCATTGTTATTTCTGTTGCACAGAAATTCCAGAAAAGGCATCAATCATCTCAACACGATACTCTAATTTGATTAAAACAAGCCTATCTATCAATTTAATCTCCATCTTTGTTTCGTGATTCGAGACGTCGTTTCAGGTTCTGGTTTTTCGCAGCACCTACGTACATCATATTGTTCACATTACTCTCTTCCATTCTCTACTCCATCAAGCAAGGTTCTTTGTTACACGCAATTCAAGCCATTACGTGTTTGCGTACTCCAGTAGCAGGATAGTCATCAATTTTCATATCTTGCTTGGTTGATATTTCTTTCTATATATGTAAATATCAAGTTCAACTGATATATCATCTCGAACTTCCATTTCATTGGTCCAAAGCTACCATATAAATCCAATCTCAATATCCATATAGGAGAAAACCAATTGACAAAGTCACGGCTTCCAACAGCAACAATTAAAACGCCATTTATTTCCTCTACTCCCAAAAAGCCACCCGGACGCCTCGCTAAAGGATACATTTTTACACCCCGTCATCGATCACATTGCGATTCACAGGTCAAGCCACACGGGACCCGAGTACAAGACATCTCTTTGCAGACACAGGGCCTAGAAGTATCCCAAACCAAAATCAGCTACTTAACCTCACTCATCAATCCCACCCATTCATTCATACAAAATGATTTCCAACATCAAAAGAAAGATTGCCTCGTCCTCGGGTTCATCCTCATTATCATGGCGAGAAAGAGAACAAAATACTTCATCAAGTAGCAACAAGCGTCATCAATCTTCCTCTCGAACGCCCCAATCCCAGCGGCAATACCAGCAATGCGACTCGGAGCAAAATAGTTATTGTCCCCGTCATCGCAACTCCTCCGCGACAAATTGGTCCATCATATCTACACTTCTTAACGAAGTAACTTCCTATCAACATCCGCCCAGAAGCCAAGAAACAAACAACCACCCGCATCCAGATTCCTATGAAGCCTTTATGCAAAATGCATTGGAAGAGGATCAAAGACGGGAAAGACACAAGCGAGCTGTGCGCAAAGCAAACGATGCGTGGCAGCAAGGATTCCGAAGATCAGACGCTGCTGGAACGAGAAGTTGGTTGCAGAATTGTGGGTTAGCCAAGTAGGACTGTTCGTTTCAATGCCATTCATTAGCGTTATATCATACATATCATACCGATAACGATTTCTTTTGTTACAAGATGGAAGTGGGAGGGGCTAGGAGGAAATATGGATGGGAGTTTGATGAGAATATACCCAATGTGGAAATGATGGTGGACATAAAGAAGACAAAGTTAAATAGACCAAATGAAAGATATTAGACTTACTCTCCCACTCCCAATCCTTCATGACACCCACCCAATGCAATTTCCCTCTAACTGTCAGCTCCTGGTCCATCTCCTCAGTAATAAGACCCGCGGCTTGTCTTTGGGCCATGAGTTCCCCAAACGATCCCTGAGACGGCCCCGAGATGCTATGCCTCTGTCTACTTCCTACCGGCGAAGCTCTCCTACTCTGCCCTCTAATACCCATTTCATTGAGATTCAACAGATCCGAGAATGAAATATCTTCATTCCCAATTCCATTCTCCATTCCTTCCTCAAACCTTCTCATATTATCGCTGGGCCCGCCATGTATCCCAGACATTCCCATTCTACCACCATTCTTCCTCATCAATTCCTGTTCTTTTTTCCTAGCAACTTCATCTCTTCTCCTCCACACTTCTTGCATGACTTCCCAGCAGCGATCGATATTCCCAATCCACATTCTTCTTCCCATACTTGCCCATCTTTCGTCAACCCAGGCCCTATCTTCGGCATCTTTTGCTTCACAGCCCGCTGCCAGGAGTGGATATATCTGAACGATAACGAGGCGGCTGCTAAGTGGTACCGTAGCGAGGAAAACTAGGACTTTCTTCGCAAGTTCTGCACACGTTAAAGATGGGATTTCAGGGACGGCTTGATGTAAATGAAGAAGAGTAGCGTAACGATAGGCTTCGGCAGTTTGAAGGGCGTGTTGAATTTCGGAAGTTGGATCTTCAGGAGTCGAGAATGCGGTTGAAGGTCGCCATTGCTCGATTTCTTGCTTGAGTTCCATGGCTTGTGACACTATGGCTATAGAATTTGATTTCGATTTTTGTACTTTGCGACACAGATTTGCAGCGCGACCAATAAGAGGAAATAGTGTTGCCGCGCTGCCCATTAGTGGGTCAATTTCTGACATTTGCGTGACGTTGGCGGAAGAAGAAGATGAAGCAGAAGAAAAGGAATTGACAGAGAGATTGTTAAGCGGCGAAAGAATGTTCTCAAAATCTGTAGAATCTTCATCATCAATCGATGTCAACCTGGCAATAACATCCATGTAAACCCAAGTGTTGCAAAGAAATTTTAATCTGGCAAGATCATCACCCACAAGACTCCTTTTATTGTGTTTTATGAGTGCTTGATTAACCAAGATTTTTGCACCTCTGAGATGCTCAATCCCTGTTGAGATATGCTGATCCCAAGACTCAGCAAACGCAAGGACAAGTGTTGTGGCGAGTGCAGTATCGGTGCGCATTTTTTCAATTCCTGTCGCGAGAGATCGAATGCTGCGACGCATATGTTCCATGCCGTCGACGCGAAGAGCGGGCTTCTCTTTGGATGTGTGAAAGGCGGTCATGGATGCGATAGCATGATACAATGCGGGGGAATCGCGTGCAAGAGGCCAAACCAATGTTCTCCATGGATTCTCTGTAGGACCATCTTTGACAGATAAAATGCCACATGTCTGCTTATCAAATCTAAGCATTAGCATTTCTGGGCTACCGGCCGGCACATCCGGCTGTCGATACATTGGACTAAAACTCCTAGGGGATACACTGGGAGATCTTGATTGAGGTTGAAAGGGACTCATGGCCAACCACATATCAGCATCAGATAAAGGAGGTTCTCGAATGATTTCCTCAATATCATCTTCCAGTGATGAATCATTCGTCATATGAAATTGAGTCATGTTAGGGCTTGACATTGGCATACCCATCATTGATGAAGGCATAGCAATGGACGAAGCCATGGATACAGATGGATGCCTTTCATTCAGATCTGATCCAGACTGTAATGAATCTGTTAATCTTGGCGACTGACCAGAGAAATTTGATCTTGTTGGTGTGACTAGAGCGGTGTCTTCAAACATGCTACTTAGACTGCTTGTGACCGAATCGGGCTCAATCCGAGAGCGTTGAGAGTCATCCTGACTAAAAGTAGGCGTGCTCATATCAAACATAGGAGAGAAACCCGAATGAAGCTCCGGAAGCGAAGTCGAGACGTCAAAATTAGACGGAGAAGGCACGGCGGCACTGAAAAACGAGTCTTGCATCTGCGTATCCTCCCTGCCGGGGGTAGAAGCCGTTCCATCAGAGGCTACTGGACTTGCGGCTGCAGAGTTATCTGGCGCTTTGTCCAATGCTATTGAACCTAGAGATATTAGAACCAGTCTATAGAGCTGAGAGTCATTGTAGTACCTCTTTTTTTAGGGGCTGGTTGCGGTGGCAGTTTGTTTGTAAATGTAGCCTCCTCGAATGGCCTCCATTTGAAATCTTTCTTATACCCTCCACAAGAAACTCCCCTCTTATGACATTGCTGACAAGAAGGTTTTGTTTCATCGCATTTTAATCGTTTTGCTTTACAAGTTATGCAACCTAACAAGTTGTAAGGAGTTTCAATCAGCATGTGAAGCTTAATGCGGGGCACAAAAGCTCTTATCAATCACGAAGATAAGAGATATGAAAATGAAGGTATCCAAAGCTTACCATTCCGACTTTTTGATTGCTTCGGTTTGTTGATACTAGGTTCTTTCTTTGAAGAATGAGCAGTGGATGGCTTGGAGGTAGATTGCTTTCGTTTTTTGGGTGGTGGAGGTGGTTCTGGTGCTGACTTGAGAACAGGGGAGGAAAGAAATGCCGATGGAGAAGGTATCGTTATCGTCTCCATCTCAAAGAATTCTTAGGAGGATACATCGGTGAATGTGAAAGTGATATTGGAATGTTGATTCACAATTTCCCAAGGAGATCAAGTTGGAATCTGGAATCAAGCTCGCTGCAACCACAACTGATCTTGCTGCTGGTGATGATGATCTTCTTGATGTGTTGTTCAAAAATATGATAGGAGATACATTCCATGGTTGATTCGGAAGTCTGGGACTCCTTCAAAAAGGTGGAGGAGAATCTGAGATTCGAACTCATAGATTAATTGTGATTTTGATTGGTGAGTTAGATGTGTCAGTTTGTGGAGAAGCCGAGCGAAGTCGCCCGAGAGGATGTAGTAGCGTATCACTACAGGGGTAAATAGCAGATGATATGATAGCAAGTGATACCCAACCAAGATGTAACCATCGGACGTGAATTGCCGCTGATGATTGGAGAAGACGTTTGGGACATGGTGAAAAAAAGAAACACCTCGAGAGTCGACATGATTGCTTCTTGATTAATAATAAGCTTCATCATCTACTCGCTACATATACACTTCGGAGTTCGTACAGAGCTTTGATCGAGAGAAACCGTAAATCCCATATGCTTTTCCGGTTCCGTGTACCTTTTCAAGGTTTACAATTCTATCCAGTTCGTATCTACTCGAGTATGCTAATTGATTCATCATTATCATAGTATCTCCCGTCCAATCTCTTCTTTTCTGTTACATAACCTCCGCTTTGTGTATCTTTTATTTTGAAAAAGACGTGTGTAGGGCTAGACGGGGATCCGTATTGTAATGTCATGCTGATAAGTCTGATAGGTTAATGCAGCGGGCGGTTTCCGAGGCTCGAATAGATAAGTTGATAACGGTGGGAGGGGAGTTCGTGTGATCGCAGCTAGTGGGAAAATCTGGATTCTGGAACGTTTATGTACAGAACGGATTGATTTCGTTCGGAACTTCCCAAGTGGTCATGTATGCATGATAGGAAATTGTAAGGCGTGAAAGCAAATGGTAGGAAAGATGAGGATATCGTGAAGCATTGAACCTACTGAGAAAATAGAGCGGAGAGAAACAATACTTATGATGGACAAGTACCTTCAACAGCAAATGCGCAAAGATTAGTTGTGGTAACACAATAGATGACGCCTGACTGTAACGTGAAAAGCTGAGATTACGAGTGCTGGCGATAACCTGGAGTAAGAAATACTGAAAGTTTGGAAAAGTTGCATTGTGCCGCTGCAGCGCAATGCGTTCTCATGCATCGAAGGCATTTATGCTCCCGAAATCCTAGGAGCTCTCAGTTGGTCCAAATCATGCAAGCTTCTAGTGCCAATACACATCTTGTGACTTAACTCGTGGTTTGGTTCGACGGTACTTCTATATTGTGCTGTGGTCGAGTCCATACTGGGTGGAGATTATGCATGCAAGAAAGTGACTATTCTTCCGCTGCCAGATCATCCTTTTTGTGAGCTGAATCGTCATATTTGTGCTTCCTTGGGTACGACAGCTTGGTAGGGCGCGCATGAAGTCTTGTACAGGAAGAAGGAATCGTGGTTGTTCAACTTCATCAAGGGAAAGATGGTTGCTGGCTGGATCTGCACGTTATTAGGATTTGACAAGATCCTCGAACAGGCACACTTTTTGCTGAATGATTGTCGGTACCGAGTATGATGTTGGTTCAAACGCAAGCTTAAATAGTTGGCATAAACAACGTGGCGTGCTGTTTTTAGAAATAGGGCGGCTCCTACGACAACAACATACTGACGAAAGCTGAAATTCAAATTGGTGCATCATTGAATCAGTCGTGATTTGGGCTGCTGTTGTTCTTAAGATGGTATTTCGAGATCGCGTTTCGGAACGCCGCAATACCGTTGAGCTGTCGCTTCACTGTACGCACCTGTGGAGATCGTGACGTTAATGTTTCCGATAGAATTTTAATTTATTTGGAAGCTGATGATTCCTTGCCTCGTCTGCGACGATTGAGATTTGCTGAAAAGAATTAATTCTGGCTCACGAAATTTTCCCGATGATCTAGCTTTTCGTCTCATGTCGCAAAATGGTCGATTCAGCGGGTTAAGGATAACCAAGCTAGAGATCTGCACTAGTGTTTGATGGTACAATTTCAACATACAAAAACCAGGGAGGTAGGTAGATGGAAAAGTGCTCTCTAGATAAATTCATAATTCAATATAGCTCGGCGGGAATTGTTGAGAGGGCTATTCTTTACATTCGGGCTCGCTCTAGGTAATGGTTTTTCGCTTGGTTTCATGCAGATTAGGACGAGGATGAAGGGGTTCATAGTCAATTTCAAACAAATTTGATTGTCGGCTTACATTAACATGCTCTCGATCGCGTATTCAAATGTTCTTTCTAGCTTTAGTGATTCAGATTCATGAATATCATTTGACAGTCGAGAGAGACTACGGTTGATCTATCGTGTGTATCATCTATAGTTCCATAGAACGACATTTGACAGCCAGCCACGGTCGATCTATCGTGTATATCATTCATAGTTCCATGGAACCACATTTGGCCCGGAAAATGCCCAAAAGTTTGCGTAGTCTCAAATATGGCCTGGCTTAAGTACTATGATACCAACTACGGAGTCGATCTCCGTACTATTGAAGAACGTCAGATCTGGCGATGATGTGCGTATCAAGATAGATGGAGTTTCGCCTTCAAACAGATTCTTGACGAGACTCGATTTGTGTCTCATCTCGTGTTCTACACGGTGAGTATTGAAATCAGTTAGGGGAGGGATGATTTGTTCTTCTTCTTTACCGATCATGATTTAGAGATGATAAGAGTAGAAACAACCCTATGCGCGCGACTGAATAAAAAGGTATTAGGAGTATAATCTCCCTAGGCAGTCAATATAAGTAACGGTATATTTAACAAACAAGATAGGTGCTCCGCCACTAGGATCTCATCGTGATCCGGGTATCTGAAAATAGCAAATTAGTGGATCTGATCACAATTTTAATGAGCGTCTTCAAGCTTTTGAAAGTGGAATGAAATACACTTCCACTTGTGCACGCACATACGAGTAAAATTTCAAGATGAAGTTGTACACTCCACTTGATAGATTTTTTGACGCGCCATGGAGGATGATTAGAGCCTCAGCCACTACAAGCGGGGCCAACCTCTTTAATTATTTTGAATCCTTGAATGAAAGTTAAACATTATTATTGAAGAAGGAGAATGCCACCAAAACTTATGCCGCCCGCTAATGCAAATGCATCAGCCAAGCCGATCTTTTATATCCGTCTGGAGATTGGAAGATTCCAATTGGATGTATCTATCTCCACATTACCATACTATAACCTGTCGTGGCCTTCGAATCCTTGAGAGCAACGACCAAGTATTTGCCGCTCTTAAGAACGAGGCTTTGATGTTTGAGAGTGTTGGTGTGAGGGTGGGTGGTGAAGGACGACGGTAAAGGACAAAGGTAAGGGGCGACGGTAAGGGGCGACGGTGAAGGAAGACGGTAGGATGGTGAAAAAGCAAATGAGAGTCGTGGATCTACGGAGATTTCGTGATATTGAGGAAGACCGATAGAGATCAATCAAGTTACCATTTGAAGGCTATCGTGAAAAGAGAGACAGAAAGAAGAGAGGAAGAGAGAGAGAGAGAGAGAGAGAGAGAGAGAGAGAGAGAGAGAGAATGGCGTGATGGCTTCATTCAGTGGCAGTACGGCACGGCAATGTATCTCTCTATCTATCTATATGCTTGGTATCGACAGCTTACGCTATCGCTGTGCATATATCGCTGCAATGCCAATGAATGGTAGATGCTGCTTTGATATTAAAAACGATGATGCGAATATTAATTTGTTGGATATCATAGAGGACCATATAATAGTGTTTCATCCGTATAACGAAAGTGGTCTGTTTCCCCCATGCTTACTACTTAATTCCTTATTAAAGCTTTCATTATCTCGTAAGACTTGGATGCATTATCGTGAGCCGTGACATCTCCCATCGTATTCCCTAAACCTCACTCATTTTGCCTTCACGCCAGCCACCCAAAAACCAAGAATACATCATCATCCAAAGTACATATGAGAGCTCTTTCTTCATCCCGCTGCTTGGATCGTCGTCAGCTTGGACGCATTTTGGTGATGTAGACCCAAGCCAACAATAATTGACTTTTCACATACCGCAAGTGTCACCTAATGGTTCTGGGCTGTGGGTACAAGAAATTCCTATACAAATTAGTTATGTTGCATCTTTTTTTCTGCATCCTTTGAAACACCATTCAAGCGCATTTTTGGAGCGCATTTGAACAAAATCCATGGATGCATAAGTTGGATGGCGCATATATCATACATTCACTTAATCCTAAAGGAGCAATTTTCATATTCTTTCCTGTTTCTGTCCTGATTGTCCTCGCTGTCCTGCTTTTTCATTGGCAGTAGGAGCATCTGAACTCCTCACTTATCCTTGATATCTTTCAGAGCTACCCCGTTTCTATTTACATGGTATGAGCTACGAAACCTTGTCAAGGCTTCTATCCAACATTTATCCTTGAACAAGCCCCTGTACTACTCTCCAATGAACATCGCGCCTTCTCTTCCCTTCGTATCAAGAATTGATATATACAAGAGGCATATCACCATTTATGTCGAAGCCCTCGACCTCTTCTCCTTCGTCCTCCACCTCCTCCACCCCCTCCTAATATATCGACATTACACCTCTCTGTCCCCAATCTGTCCTATATTACATGCTTTTCATAGGATCGTCATTAATTCAAGATTTTGGTAAAGTATAATCTGAGCGAAATGGAAGCAATATAATATACATCGCCAGATGTATAATAATTAAGCTTCAGCCTTCTCGTCTTTCGATTATCATTCTTCTGCATCAACGATGGGGAACAGCCAATCAGCACAGGGCCCAAGACGAGGCAAGAAATTATCGAAACCAAAGACCAAGCCTACTGGGCCACCGCTATCGACCTCCAACAGCCCAAATCCGAGTCGTCGAAACTCCGTCACTGGAAAAGGGATTGTAACTGCTGCAGCTTCAGTTCTTCCTCATGGCAAGCTTGTCAGTGTTCTCGAGACTGAGTCTCTTGAACATATATCAGAGCCAACACCCACGAAGAAGAAGAGAATGAGTATATTCAGGTCAAGGAATTCAAAGAAGGATACGGGGAGCCCTCAATTGGGCGCCAGTGTCGATGTTGTACCTAGTGTTTCTCCACCAATTAATACTGGCAGGTTTACAAGAAGTAATTCTGTAAATTCTGTTGCTGTTGAGGCGACAGAGGAAAATCCACGGGCTGCCCAAAGTCCTAGGTAAGTCACTTTAAATACTCTCTATTTACATTACGTGCTCATTAAATGCCAGGCCAACATTCCATCGTTCACGAAAATCACTTCCCCATGTACCGTTTCCATCGAATAATAATAATCGCCTTTCCCTCGTATCAGAAGGCCTTCCTGCGAGACCAGATTCCATAAATGTCGCAACAAATTTGGTTGGACAACATGGTGGAGAGATGGATTGGCAGTTATCGGACCCATTCTGCCAGAGAACTCAATCAGACCCTGCAATATATGCGCCTATTCGTCGAAAATCTCTCCTTCAACATGGTGTAGCGACAAGACACAGCGTCATATCAAATTCTCAGTCTTTTCAGAATCAAGTCCCAGCTTCGTACCAAAATATTGGAAAATGGTCTGTGGCACCTTTGACATTAAGAACAAATGTGGATAATGAAAATCACGGTGCACGTACTTCTACTCCTAATGACCTTGGCCATATTGGTTCATTTCAGCTTGGTTCGCTGAGAATCACAAATGGTTCGGCAAGTCCTACGCCTAGTGCCGACGAAAGAAGAGCTAGTCTCCCATCTAATGATCAACATATTGCTACTTTACAAGCAAGCTCCAGGATTCAAGGTATTGCCAATCGAAGCTATACCATTTCCGTTCCCGCAGAAGCCATGAAACGTCCCTGGGCACCAACCTCTTTCTCACAATCCCCCATTGAAAATGATTCTTACGATTCTCTAACCATCAAAATCCCGAGTACTACATCTACCCTTAATTCGCCGTTATCTCCTACTAATGTTCATCCTTTGAATCTTCCTCCTCAATTAAGTCCATTTTCTTTTGTTGCAAGTCCCATTGGGTCGCCATTAGAAGCTACCAGCAAGAACACTGCTGTAGAAGACGAATTATTTGAGGCTGAAATGACTACACCTACGCTCGAGTCTTCTTACAGCAATGACAATCGTTCATTTGACTCTGGCTACGGCCCATCGCCTGCTACACCAGAACAACAAACTTTAGGCCGGATCCAAAGTCAACAAGATATGATCTCAAAACAGCTGGCAACAACTGACAGTGGATACAATTCATCTACATCCAGAAAGAATTCAACAGCGCGAGTTTCGCCGACAAAGATATCTCTCAGGACAACAGAAGCGACACCTCTTGCTACCCATGCGATTCCAATGGTTAGCTTAGAATCTCAAAAGATGACCAGATTGAGCAATGTCTCTTTGCCGAGTTCGAGCTATCAATCTCAGATTCAACAGCCGACGCCCATGTCTTACAGACAGAGTATGCCAGCAGTTCCGCGTCAGCCTCAAAATTTCACTGCCGGTGAGACTTCGGGCTCAAATTGGGGAGTGCAGAGGCAACGCCCACAATCTTTCTATCCCGGCGCTCCAAGATTCACGGCGCAATCTCGATCACGGAGTGAGATGCATCTACCTACTGCGGCTTCATTTCAAAATAGCGACAGTGTAGATGAAATCATGGAATACAAAGCAATGCGAAGGGTCAGTTCGAAAGAGACTATAACTACTATAATGTCTTTGGAGCCCGGGGAAGTGGAGTCTACATATAATAGGCTACACAATGCAATCCCTCCTATTCCTTTGTCCATTCCAGAGGAGGATTACCATACCGGGTGGAAACCGCCAAACGCACGAAGACATTCGTATGCTCCATCAACTCCATCTACACCTAAGAATCGATATACACTACAGCCGTATCAGGCTCCCACTTCTCTGAATTCATATCCACAGGAGGATCAAACAGATTTTGAAAATCATCTGACATCCTTTGACAATATCAAAAATAGCTTGGGAGGGTCTCCCTACGACTTGGCACTTACAGCAATGGAAAGGACGCCTCCGCGAGCTACACCAAGGGGTACACCTGCACCCAAGATGAAAAGCGCGGCTGCGCAACTTCAATCTACACATGCCAATTTGATTCGATCTCAGTCCGAGGAACCTCTGTCAAGGCCGGATATCAATGGCCGCCAGGACTCTTACAATAAGCTTGTGGGCGGCAACCCGTTTGACTATAGTAGTACTGGATCGAGCTCAAGAGCTACTTCATCGAGCTCTACATTCACTCTTCGGGATTTACCATCGCAAAGACGAACTGCCGAGGAAGATGCGAAGAGGTTATCCATAGCAAGAACTAACAGGGTTAATAGTCCCCCGCCTGTCTCCTTCCAGAATCAGCGAAAATCTGTTCCAGTTCCTGCTCCGGGGCAATTGACATTACCAAAACTGAGATCTACATCAGTGGCACAATCTCCTCTTTCACAGCCATTATCGCCGGAAATAATGACTTCTTCATATCAGAAATCAGTCACTCCGCCTCCAAGATCCTTAACTTCTCCCATCCGAGAGGTACCAAGTCAGGGATCCTTGGCTTCCGGGCAAGAACTTTGGTTTGATACAAAAGAGCAAATGATCCCTGCACAGCTTCAAATCGGTCATGCTGAAAGGCCGTCTAAGACAAGATCTCAAAGCGCTAGACCAGCTACACAATACCATCGACCTATTCCTCTTCATCACTTTAGTTTTGATGTTCAGGAAAAATCTGGGAACAACTCGAGAGCTGCGAGTCTTTATAGCGAAAAGGAGTGGGAGATCCATGCTGGGGCTTATGACCACACGTATGGCTCTTCTACCAATCTCCATGATCTTTCCGGTGAATTTTTAGCCAACGAATATGATACTCCGTCCTTCGAAGAATCTCAGCCAATTCCGGATATGGGGAATTCAACGCAGGACATGTTAGTACTGGACCGATATGCGGGAGGTCTGGGATATAGATTTGAGCCCGGCTACGGTCTAGGCGGGAGTGCAGGAACGAGAAACAGCGGGACGATGAATAAGGGAGGGAGAAAGGGGGTCGAAGTGTCCAAGCAGTGGGGGCTGGATTTTAGTGACGTGCCTATTATCATGCAGAGAGTGCCAGTTGGAGCTGGTATCTAAATGAGCAACATACTTTCCGCCTGATAGTCATTCGTGAGGAACAAATGACACCTCATACGACATACTGCCAGGCATATTCTTAAGTTACCAAGTTTTGACATTAGATTAGACCTGGTAAGGCAACGAAAAATACACATGGAATGGCGTTAACTAGGCATTTGTTACTTTTCTACGATTTTCTTTTTTCTTTTGTAAGGAATTCCATTTGGGTCGGGGGCTTTGGGGGGCTTCGGCGGGATTTGGGGATACAACATATTTGGATGACGGATGGATACCCAGTTTTCTTTTTCTTTCTCGTTGCTTTTTTTTGGAGGGGGCTACTTTTTCCAGCACAATGAGCGTGGAATTGGTTTGCTTTATATCGCATTGCATTGCATTATTCGGGAATAGAAGGTGCGTATGTACCAGGGCATGATTGATGGATGGAGGGGCCTTGAAAAGGAAGCGAAAAGAAAGATTGTACATATTTGATCGACGAGGAGTGTAAATACTTGTAAATATTACTGGTCGAGAAACCGGGTTACTATCATCGATAGCAGGTAACGCAAATAGATTTGACGGTGACTTTTACTCTGTGTTTATTGTGTCTTTGTTTCGGTGAACGTGAATAGTGAGATACATTTTGCTCGTGGGAAATTATCACCTGCGTGGTGATCTGCTTCTGCGGTCGTTTAGTTTCATGATTCATGGTGAATTGGGTATGATGGCTGTGGCACAGGGAAATTACTGTTGATATTTTTGAGTTGCTGCTTGGATGTTGATCTTACTGCTGCACTTCTCCATTGCCTCTTGATTAGTGAGATGAGGAGTTTTCCCTGGAATATAGGCATAAAACTGAAAAAGTTACAGAAGTTCGGGACAGTGCTATCACTAAAAATTACTATATTGATGATATGGTACTTTACGAGAAAGACGCTTTCACAATTTTCTCAGCCATCTCCGGCAATGTATCGGCCATGACCTCCAGCTCTGTATCAAAAATATCCAAACACGGCTCTTTCTCGTACTCCGCACAATAAGCACCCTTGAATCCAACCTTCTTTGCCGCCGAAACATCCCACATATGGGCCGCCGCAAACCACGACTCGTCATCTGCAGCAAACTTCTCCAACGCTGTTCTATACGCTGCCAAAGCCGGCTTGGCAACTCCAGAGCTATCGCACGAGATGAAGTTTTCTGCAGGCATCTCGACGCCCCCCTTTGAGAAGTACTCCTGCACACGCTTCAAATCGGCCGTGGTCAAAAACCACACCTTAAAACCGCCTTTCTGCAAAATCTCAAAGCACTCTTTAGCGCCGGGTCTCAATTGTAGCTCAGAGTAACCTTGCACACACGCGTGGAGTTCTTCATCAGTGCACAGGGCTCGCGGGTCGTCGACTCCGGCGAACCATAGAGTACGGTAGAAAGTCGACTCCAAGATGCCCTTGTAGGGCTTATATCGCTCGGAAATGGAGAGGAATGTGAATTCTAGCTCGGCGGCGGTCATCCAGCTGTAGCCGAAGAATTTTGCGGTGATGTTGTGGGCGCGGAGTTTTTCGCCAATGGCGCGGTCGATTTGCGCGTGGTATTCGTCGAATGAGACGAGGGTGCCAACGATGTCGAAGACGACATGTTTTTGGACGCCCATCTTTGTATTTTTTGACTTTGGTTATTGGGTTTAGTGATCAATTGCTTGCTGGCTCATAGAATTTGAACGCTTCACTTTGGTCAAGTGGTGTAATGCAGATTTTGGATTTATTGATCTAGAGACAGAGGTACAGAGTGAAATAATTGGTTTGATCTACTCTGCGCTTTGAATGACTAAACTTGTGCTCGTTACCTTCCAGCAATATGTGATTCCAACTCAATTGTTACTTTTATGATACCAATGTATGTGTCATTCAAAATACGATATACTCAATCACCAATATACTATCTCAATATCTATTTGATCCCACCTACGGATTGCTAATTGCGGGAAGCCCCATATGTATCTTACGTGCTGTGATCCGCAATAATAGATTCCCCGCATTGGCACCGTCTCCATATTGTATGTAACCTCACTACAACCACAATCTAATAACATGTCCGATCTCGCCCGAAGCTTCACTATCTCCTGATTACTGAACAAAGTTGTTGAAGAATGTCTATCTTATATCGGCAGCTTATCTGGTAGGTTTCACTTTAATGCACACCCCTCCTCCTTTGCTCCATATTCGGCTTTTAAACCAGCATTAAAGCTAACTCCCCGAGAACGACTATCCCACTCAAGATATTTTCTTATCTGCAGCATGTTCCTATTATAGCATCTCTAGTTTATAATACTTCATCTGTGCATGCTCGCTTCTCATCGCGACTTTGCGAGACTGCATGCGCCGGCTTCAGGGGCTGGGGTCGGATAAGCTTCGGGTATTGCACTTATCTACGGGGTTCCTTTTCCGCAAACTCTACATCACTCTGCATCCAAGTATCTTGTTATCTGCATATCTGTTGAAGATGAATTTGGATATTTTGGGATTTCATTGGCCATGATGAGGAAGGTTCGGGATAACCGTCGCAAATGCTTGCCATTTTTGAAAGTTGTGTCGTCTGTTGACATTTTGAGTAGCGACGTAGAACTGCGCTGAAATTGGACCTCACAGGCTCATAATAGGCAAAGTCCTAAATCAGAGTTAAAGTCACTGTAGAATGGATAGATAAGCAATATTGCTAGAAATACACACCCTAACATATGCCTGTATCGCTCAGCAGAAGTCTAAATCTACAGTACGGAAGAGAAAAAGTTGTAATTATAATCTTGTTCAAGTAACTATGTAATCATATTGCTAAACATGCTATGTGACAAAATTGCTGCAGAAGATCTCATGACCACATAATATTCAATCTTGCAAGCCCCTTCTTGGGCGCCTCTTCTGGCTCTGGGTTTTGCTGGTAGATCTCAATGAATCCTCGAATTGGCATTTCCTCCAAAGTAACCATTTTAGTTTTGGCGTAAAATTTATAGCCCAAAAACAGCATTAGGAAGAGAGGAATGTTCAAATACGATGAAATGAATGTCCCAGTGTCCCATTCGCCATGAATGAAAGTCACGTATCCTCCGGTGAAGAGAAGAATGACAAAGAGGGTCAGAGAAACCCACGTCGTGTATGGCTGCAGTGGTGCAGCCCATGGAAGCTCAGTGTGGCGATTGATGCCTTGCTTTTTGCAGCCAGCTTGAAATCTAAGGTAGACTACTAAGATGGATATCCAATTAACCAATGTTGCGATCGAGACAAGATCTTGAAGCCAAGTGAAAACTGTACTAGCAGTACTCGACAAAGTCATGTAGCCCAAGCACATGAAAACAGCATATAAAGCAGCTGCAATATAAGGAACACCGGCACGGTTTACTCTAGTGAAGAATTTGGGAGCGTGTCCATACATAGCCATACCAAAGAGAATTCGTGTTCCGCCGAGCATACTGGAGTTTCCAGAAGACCAAGCTGAGGTAAGTACAACAGCATTGATGATCGATGGGATAACCTTGATACCGGCATTCTTCGCGGCAATTACGAATGGTGATTCAGAAGCAGTACCAGTAGACTGAAGAAGGTTGGGGTCGTTGGATGGAACCACAAGACCGACCATGAAGATGGTGAGAATGTAGAACAAAAGAATTCGGATAAAGATGCGCTTAGCGGCCATTGGGATTGCTCTTCTTGGATTTTTCGTCTCGGCAGCAGCTACAGTGATATTCTCGATTCCAGAATATGCATATAAAGCATTGTTGAGTGTTGTCCAAAATCCAAGGAAGCGACCCAAGCTACCGCCAATACCCAAATACTGGACGAAAGCTCCAGGGTCCCTCCAGTAACGAAAGCCTATCGATTCATGGTTCGGACCTCCTCCACAGGTAATAACGAGAGCCATTACATTGATTCCGATGACAAGCATAATCTTCAGCATAGAAAATGTAAACTCCAATTCACCATAGACCCTAACAAAAGTGACTGCGGTCAAGATCATGAGAACAGCAAAAACTGTAATCCAAACTGCATTATTGATTGTCGTCCAGAACTCTACTAAAACTGCAGCGGCGACGATCTCGGAGGGAATAGAGACAATGTATGAGTAGACTTGGTTCCACCCATTGGCGAAAGATATTGCAGGGTCGAAGAAGTGCTGAGCATAACGAACTTGTCCTCCAGTGAGAGGAATTAAGGCTCCCATTTCTCCAACAGCAAACACTACACTTGAAACAGCGAGGCCAACCACCGAATAACCAAGAAATGCTCCCAGAGGACCGGATCTTGCAATTGCTCGGCCAGAACCAAGAAATAAGCCAGTACCAATTGTTCCAGCAAGCGCGATCATCTGAATATGGCGTTGATGAAGGCCTTGCTTAAAAGCTTTCACCTCCTGAAACTCTACTACCGTCCCGTTCTCATGTTGACCAGAGTGAACTTCGATATCCCCTTTTCCGATAGCCTCATTTTTGGAGCCTCCATGGCCGAGCTCGTAGTCGTCTAATTTATGATCTGAGGACATCTTTGAAAGATCCCGATATCAATCAAGAGGGGTGAAAGACAAATTTTCGTGTGCAAGAATGATGGATCTTGATACAGCGTATTTCTGGTCTATCTTGTACTCTTTCAGATCACAGAATCTTCTACCCTGCATTGGTATGAAAGCCACACCGAGCTAGCTGTAGATAAAGTGTATCGAGTAGAACTCCCTTATCATGATAACAGTTATCTCTCATTCATCTCGAAGCAGTTTGCATCATCGCTTTTGCCAGAGCTGAGGAAGGGTATATCCGCAATTGGATGCTACCCCGCTAAGTCAATGAAACCCGAAATGCTCCTTCGGCTCTGTCCCCTGCTTAACCCACATAATGATAACATCCCTTCAGCCAAACCAACTTGTTGAAGCTGTGAACTATCTCATTGCGTGCTAAGCTTCCAGGGTCCTCTACCCGCAAAGCTGATAAGCATGAAGCCCCTGTACGCAGTCTTAGTACTTCAGATGATGTTTTGTATTGAATGGTTTGTTGGATTTTTGACATTATCGAAAACTTACATTAGAATCACCTCCTCTATAGCCTAAGCATAGCTTCCTCGTAGTGCATCCAAATGGCAAGTTACTTAGATAGTAGGCTGTCCAGTTCTTTTACGAGGCAATAAATCACAAGTGAAGATGGTGTTGTTTCAACCTGTTTGCTAGCTCAGATTATAGAGCAGCCACTCGAAACAAGAAAATGTTGTGGGATACGTCGTAATGCTCATACTTGCAATTGACCAATGGCTTTGAGCTCAGCCAGATCTGGAATATGCTACCTATAAGGTAGCTAGGTGGTACACGCGTTCATTTGGATAAAAGAGCCAGATACAGAAGTAGTCTTTCGGAATCCCCATTCGGGACGGTGGAAGCTTTTAAAATCGAGGCGGCTAATTTATTCACGCTACTTTACCACGAAAGCTTACAAGGTTGACCGTTACAATTCCGTCTGCAATTGCCGCAGAATTCTTGGCCGTACTTCATATGCCTAAAACGTCTGATTTCGATATTAAAGGTGTCACATAATAACATCATCACGTCAGAGAGCTTCGAATCAGCCCCGTTCGAGAAAGTTGAGAACTGCCTTGACTAACTGAAATTGCTGAGATAAATAGGTATCAGTAGGTACCTAGTTATAATGGGATATCGATGATAAGATTGTAAAGGGCCCAATGGCCAACTTGATAAGGTTGGGGGACAGGGGCCGAGCGACGTAGACATCTGATAAGAACGTGGAGAGATCAGGAGATGTCACGTTTCATTATCAAGAAAGCCTCATTATATTTCATTTTCAAAACAAATATAATACAGATTTCAAAAAATTCTTAGATTATAATACCTTGATTAGCGAAGCCGACCGTAATCCGCGGTCTAGGGGATAGGCTTGCATTTATGGGTACTGCAAGCAGTCAATTACCAATCAATTACTATCATATCACTAGAAAGTGTCCCAAAAATTCACTTTATATAGGACCTGGACAACGATTTTCAGAATTACACACGGCAAAAATATAAAACATAAACCATCCCGCCAAACGATCAAAATAATTACTTAAAATTCCATATACGCATACCGTTGATCCTTCAGAACCCCCAATTCAAAGCTGAGAAACGAAGAACACCATCGACGCCATGAAGACTGTTTCCAAGACCTTGAATGACCTCTCGATCTCGGTCGCACCATCGAAGTCAGGCTCGACAGTATCCAAGTGTCTACCAGTTTCTAACCCAGGAGAGTGTTTCTGGCAATCTGAAAAGCATAGGTTACATGACCACCGCTCTACAGAAGATCTCCCAACGCACAGCGATGTAGTCATTGTCGGTGCAGGGTACGCCGGGGTTAGCACCGCATACCATTTAGTCAAAGAGAGCGGTGACTCGGTGAAGTCAATCACTATTATAGAGGCACGAGGTGCATGTTCGGGTGCAACTGGTAGAAATGGAGGACATTTGAGACCAGATTTGTATGGTCATATCCCAACTTATGTTGAGCGAGGTGGCCCACGTGCAGGAGCTGAGATCGCCGAGTTTGAGATTGCTCACGTCAAGGAGATCAAGAAGCTCATCGAAAAAGAGAAGATAGATTGTGACTTCAGCCTCTGCCGCACAGTTGATGTATGGTGTAATGAGGAGATGGCAAAGAAAGCCAAGGGAGTATATGACCAGATGGTAGAGAACGATTTTGAGTACATGGATGATGTCATCTTCCATACGGGGAAAGAAGTTGAGGGCGTAAGTGAGGTTTTTCGTTCATCAGGATTATTCATCTCTAACTTTCTTTTAGATCTGTGGAGTTAAAGGTGCCAAGGCTTGTGCTTCATACACAGCTGGGAGTATGTGGCCTTATAAGTTTATTCTGGGGCTACTCGAAATAATTTTGCCAACCGGGAAAGTTAACTTGCAAACCAACACACCAGTGACTAGTGTAACCAGTGTACCCAGTGGAGGCTTCGCCATTGAGACAAGCAGAGGAAATACACATGCCAGCAAGATAATATATGCCAACAATGCATACATATCTGCGCTTCTTCCCGAATACGATCAAAACATAGTTCCTTGCAAAGGTATCTGTTGCCGTATAACTGTGCCTGAGGGCAAGACAGCGCCACTTCTCAACAACACTTATATAAACCGAACAGAAGACAACACTCTTTCGTATCTTATACCCAGAGCAGACGGCAGTATCATCGTCGGTGGTGCCGGGTCGAAATTTAGACCTCATAAAGATCAATGGTATAATAACGTTGATGACAGTGTTCTCATCGAGTCAGCAAAGGATTATTATGAGAATTATATGCAGGAAACCTATAATGGATGGGAAGACTCCGGTGCTAAAGTTAACAATATCTGGAGTGGAGTTATGGGATATTCTTACGACTCAAACCCCCACGTCGGCGAGGTACCTGGAAAACCCAATCAGTTTGTAATTGCTGGATTCAATGGTCATGGTATGCCAGTCATTTGGCTTTCTGGTAAAGCTGTTGCCAAGATGGTTTCAGAAGATGTGCCTTTCGAGAAGACTGGTGTTCCACGATTGTTCAAAACGACTCAAGAGAGGATAGATCGGGCCAAGAATGGAAGCGAAGAGCAGGGCGATATTCTTGGTACTGGAAATCAGAAAGCCACAAAGCAATGAGAGACCCCTCGCTTTCTCTTATTTCCCTATCGCTGAACCATCTCTATTGCAATGGAGAGCGGTTACATATAGCTAGCTTAAGCAACATGGGTGGATACAAACACATTCCCTCCTTGAACTAGCCTATCGCAGCAAACTACCAGCTTAGCATTGGCTTTCAGTCGTTAGTAATATTTGGCAACACAATTCTTGGCTGAAAGACATGGATTCTGCATTCCAATTCATCAATATCGCTTCTTTGGATGAATGGGGTTATGGAGTAAAAACGAAAATTATGACTTTTATATACTCTTTATCTATAGAATACTGGTTCTTTACATTTGAGGTCGCGCTCAATACCTTGTGTATTGCACGATTAGTATTTGCAAGGCAGGCTCGCTTGATGACCTGAAAATATGAAAAATATGACTTTTTTTTTTACCATAAGTTCTATAAATTGTTGCTGCCATGTTTCACTCTTTCTCTTTTATGCTGCCATTGTCGATAGCTTGATAATCGTCCCCAGCACAACTTTACAATTGACAATAAACTTAATCCACTGTCGTATGCCAACTTTCTATGCCTTCGCATCGAATCCATTACAGCGATGTTCTCTAGCATAGTTAAACTTTTCATTGCCTCAAGCAAGACCCACCCAGTGCCTCCCCTATGCGTGCTGTGTATCCAGACTCTGTTTCATAGCTTACTGGTGTATTTCTGAATGGAAATAACACCTATATGGTGGTGTGCAAACTAACTTGAAGAAGGCGGCAAGAGATATTTCATGCGTCTTGATCATGTGGATAATTATTTCAATAGATTCATATTTCGAAAACTCTATATATCCTTGAAAATAGCCTTCCACTGGACTACCTAAGTTCAGAACTCAACACAACTTCTTAAGACTTTAGCTGTTCAAAACGTGTTGCATGATTCATCTTCTCCCGGAGTTGTTTTTCTTTTGGTGCATATAAAGTATTCCAATTCCCAGCAGGTCTTTGTTCATAGACTCATTGTGAGGTAAAACATACCACCGAATATAAGGGGATCCTTGATCTGTGAATAAAATTCGTGATTATCACCAGACATGAGACAGCTTTATAGATGCAAAATCATACTTCATCAATCGGAATTTGGTCCGACAGATTGCTGGAAGTGGACTTGAGCAGATGTCAATAAAGATCTCCGTTGATAACGGTAACAATTTCTCGTTGCCATTTGCATAGGAATCTATTTGCAAATGACAACTAGCCGAGCTAAAATACCTAGATACATCAATCGTGAAAGCCATTCTCATAGAGTACATTATTTTCTGTAAGATTATAAGTGGTACTGACTACATTTCTCGCACCGATATGATAGAACCGTCATTTTGGAGATCGACTTGAGAATTAAAGAATTGACTCTTGTTTCAAGATATATTAAGAAAGGCGATAAAGTATCAGATCTTACTGTTCTTCCATATTTGGGAGCAACCGCCAGTGATAAACGATGTGTCGCGCTCAAATTTAGGGATACTACACAACTATCGCGAAAACAATCATCTTTTCTTGCTCTATAATGAGGAATGTGCATCCCCTTAAAATCTTCTTAATCGTAGTGTAAGGCATGAATAAGCTGCATTGCAGGTGATAATTTGTCTATCTTTCGGAGAATAATCTCCATTTAACAAAACTCAAAAGCAGGTTTGTTTTCGTGGCCCGAGACTATCGGTATAATAAAAAAGAAATATCATCTATCACAAATTGCACGCAAGTCGCCCATCCCAGGTCTTAAAGCCATCCCTTTTCCAGCTCCCTCACTTCTTCGGGTCTACCAACGCGACTCTCTCCTCCCCTGGTCTTTCCCCCCTCCTCACGCCCAACCTTAACTTTACATTTCTAATATCCTTACTCAATGATGTGTTTGCTGCCAAATTCTCATCAGCAAGAATATCGAGATCCGGGTTCCTCGTCGTGGCAATTATGGCAGACTGTGCTGTGCTGTGAACGACACCATTAGCGTAGAAGGCGTATAAACCGAGGATTGTACTAAGACACGTGAAGAAAATTGCGATGCCGTATGAGGGGTAAAGATATTTCGGGCAATACGAGAAGACGTTGGTAGAACTCGTGAAAGTAACTGGAACGTTGGTCGCGTTTTGCTTACTAAAGTAATGTTAGCTCCGAGATACTTGATGATGTGTGTACTTGACGTCGCGGTGAACTTACAGAAGTTTGGGCTCGCTGAATAAGCTGATGGTAATACTCGCGGCCAAATCTTCAATACCTCTCGCCAGACTATGATTACGACAAGCGGATGGAGGTTTTGTAAAGAATTCTGTGGAATTTTAAATATTGATCGATCGGCTAATATTGAAAGCCGTGTATGCATTACGCCACGCGCAATACCCTGTGGTCCCCCTCACAGCTGGCAAGCAATCTGCATTTCCTACCAGAGGATTATCATTCCAATATGCGTTAAGGAAGTCATCACAACCAGCTAAGCTAGTGGAAATAACACGGCTTGGTAGGCCGAATCGCACAGTGTTCAGAGCTAAGGACCTCATATTTGATGTACCGATTTGAGCTGTTATGTTCCCACTTAGCATTGAAATCATCGATTGATAGAGAGAGATATAGGGAGCGATGTCATGATGACGTGTGTTGCCCAAAGCTCCAGGGTAGCCTGGAACATTCGTCCATAGCATTTTGACATCTACTACATCATAAAGCATGCTATAGCTTATATGCTGCGTGCCATCGATGAAATTGAATCGTACGTTCCTGGTGCCGTGACTAGCCCACACACAAAACTATCATTAGCCGTCAAAACCTATAGCTTAGGTTGAACCAAGAAGAATTTATTGTTGGTATTACTGAGATCTACTGATATATTTCGCCTGATACTGACATCCCAATTATTGAATTGATCGGGAGATGAAGTATCCAATTCACCGATCGCCAACCATCCCAAGCTATCATTTCCGGGGTACATCCATGGATCAAAGGCAGATAGATAGATCATAGATGGCCAAGGAGGAACAAGAGAGTCGGAAAGGGTAGAAGCATTTTGGTAATGCGTGGTCCAGCTGGTTGAAGTAAAAATGTTGTTCTGAGCAAGATCCTCTATATATTGATCAAAGTAAATTTGCCCGGTGTCGTTAGGTGCCATACATTGAACGTAAGGACCTCTAATGTCGATAGAGTAAGATGAATTAGGCGCTGGCCCTCCAATTGGAACAATGTTGGAGCTCTCGGCAGCTTTTGTGCCAATGTTTATAACAACAGTGCCAGGTACAGTAGAAACGTTATCTTCTTGAAAAGCGTTGACAGCAGACCAATTGATGGCAGGCATGGAAACATTAGAGGTTTCATTTATAAGGCCATTAACAATGATCAATGTACCAGGAGGTAGTATTGCCGCAAGACTCATTCCCCTAATACCGGTAGTCATCAAGCTTGTATATTAGGACGAATTTTCAAGTCATTTACCAATAGACCAATGCGAGAAGGGCCACAACTGGTGCATGTCTGAATATCTCTGCGCTCATAAATCCCATCGGATCCGACGTCAATGCAAACAACTTATCCAATGTACTTAATGTGAATGCTTTCTTTCGTATGGACATCCAAAGATATTGTGGATAAGCAGCACAATTTGCTGCAAGAAAAGATTACACCACAGAGAAAGCAAGAAGACTTCCAAGTGTTATCGAAAATTGTTCCTGGAAATTGTTTGTCCCTTGTTTGCCATCCAGATACGAATAGTAACCATGATGAGTGCATGCTAAGGCGATTCCGAGAATGGCGAAGAGAACCATGTAAGTAGGCTGTTTGTGCCAGGAAACACCCCGTTGAACAGATCCGCGAGTCTCCGTAAGGGCGGCTATTGGGGTGGAACAAGATCCATGAGAGCTGTCATCCATGGCTTTGTAAGGGGTGGCCTTCGAGTTCATGGTATTTTTTGAGACCGCCAGCATAATTATATCTTCAGGGGACGCCGAAAGCATTTCACGGCAGGTACTTTAATCGAAAAATTGCCCGAAAAGAAGGATTTGCTGGAAGACTGATCAAAAACAAAGCGCTTTGATCAAATGATGCATTGTCTGAGGAGAAGATTCTCACGAAACCTTCTCTCAGCAACAAGAGACAGATTCGATGAAGCTTCAAGGTAGCTTAGCTTGTCTTTGTTCCTTATAAGTCAGTTTTCAACTTCATGTCGTAGCTTTTTGCTGTAGAAGTGAAAAGTTTATAATTCCCGCAAAGAAAATAATAATTAAGTAGCTCGTTTGACCACAGTGAATAAAATATTAACAAAGATGAAGCCAATATGCGAATCAGAACATTCACGAACCTTCAAGGGACAGCGACCCTAGTGAAGAATTCATTTCAAATGGAGCCAGTGAATCAGATAGCGTAAAAGTTCACAGAAAAGGGGATATCAGTCCCTCTCCATCACCTCGGAAAACAAGCCCATGGCAAGCGGTCGACTTGACCACGGTCATGAGGAACTACCAATGCATTAGGAGACCAAAAGCACTCAATAAAAATGAATATATTTCTAATATATGTATGGTATGTAAAGGAACACTACAAACACTGATTAAATGCTAAGGGACGACATTCGTAAATCGATTTCCAAAATCGTTGCTGAGCCAAGTCGCACACACAATCTAAACAGGAGCTACCTTAACAGCCTCAAGATCGCTGTTACTGGCACTGACCCCATCGCTAGTCTTTTCTCCTGACTTCTTCATCTTCTTCTTCGTACCTAAGCCACCCAACCCAGTCATTGCTTCCTTGAAGGTAACAGCAGGGTTGAACAAGTTTAGCGCGAAACAAGCCACAATAACCATGACTCCTTCAAATCCGATAAAGAGATTTTGTTTCTTGATCAGATTTCCAGTCCATCCTTCTGCCAATTCCGCCACTCTGTACACAGATCTCCAGAAGATACAAATCGTAGCAAGGGCAAGAGCGAGTAAAAACCCTTTAAAGCCTTTAGAAGAGCGAAGTGTTATGAAAGCGGGGTTCTGATCGAACGCAGCGTTACCGAGGGAGCGGTATCGGGAACGTGTGCGTAATGCAAAGTCGACGCAGAGGATCATGAAAATGAATAGCGTGAAAACCTGGAACGCGAGACCAGCTACCATAATGTTATCACCAGTATCTGGGGATTTGCCTGAGTGTGAGGCTGCGGATGCCAAACCACCACCTGCAGCTTGCAGGAGGAGTGACATGAGATCACATGGAATGAACTATGGAATAATTAGTATTAGGCTGATATGAGAAGACGAATGGTGAAAATGTATCAATGACATACAATTCTGGTATAAGCTTCAGGACTAATCCTTGAATTTTCCGGTCCGAAAGCGTATACGATTCTTCTCAAGCACAAATAGATTCCTCCCGCCATAAAAGCCGGTGCGATAGTTAAGCAAACAATCTGCATTAAAAATCCATCTTGTTTCCATTGATTCTCCCAACTCATTATACGACCCGCATAGCCGATTATTTCAAGTATAACACCGGCACACATAGCGAATGTGAAGGCGGTTGCGCGACGAGTGAACGCATATGTAAAGACAAATCCAAGGAATGAAATGCTAAAAAGAGCGAGGAAAGCGGCGTTTGCGCCGATCGATACACGATAGAAATAGTAGGATGTAGAGATCGGACATGTGTCGACTGTGCAATCCGCGAATCTATCGAGTTTGTTTCGAGGGAGAAGCATGAGAAGGGAATTCATGGTGGCGATGATGTAAGGATAAAATGTCGATGAAGGTTGTCCCTCAGTTTATGAGATAATAGAAGTCCAGACGATAAAGAGTGTCCGGAGACTGACTCAACAAGTGAAAGGCTGAAAATATGATATACGAGGGAAAAAGTAAGACGTAAGGGTGCAGCAAAGTGATATGTAAGAAAATCTTACACGGCGTGAAAACGATTCCCGTTTCCGTTTGTAGGCAAAAATGATATCAGATATGTGAAAGAGATGAATTTACCTCGAATTGGCAGAAAGACGGTAAAAGAGAGAAGAAACTTACGTGGGAATTGTCAGCATTTCTATATATTAATTGGATTGTAGACAACGCTGCAGTCGCTTTGTTGAGGGAACAAGCCCGTGTTTGTAAGTGGAGGAATGAGATGTGATTTCGGAGCAGCATAGGTCCGATCGTCAAGTTTTACTCAGTACTGACTAGCGCGATGGGAACAGCGGCATCTACTCCGTATCTGTTTTTTGTTGGAGTGGTAGACTTTTCTCTCATTCAGATTTGAAGAAAAATCTCAGCGAAAACAATGCTTAATAGCTTTTAAGAACTAATGATCAGTTACTATATAAAGCTATTTCCCTCCTCCAAATCTCAACCTTTACACGTCGTTAGATATAAATCAAAATAAAGACTTTTCATGTTTCGCCTTGTCGGGCTTGCTAGACAGCTCCGCCAGCAAATTTCATTTCTCACATCTAAGCGGTTCCAAGTACAGTATCCGTTCTTTCTCTTATCACAACCTATCAGCAAGCCCAGTAAACGAACCCGAGCCGTTCTGATCAACACGTGCTGAGATTGGAACGTCGCTTACATTTGTGCTGGCTAGACCTTGTTTGACAGTTCGTGTTTCTGTCCAATCGGAACTCGTTCTATCCGAGTCCTCGTTTTTGGGTTTCGCCTGCCAAAAAAAAAAAGACCCATTCCAATTCTCCAAAATCTGTTTTGTTTCAGAGCTTTGATAAAAGAGAATCGTTTGTGATACATTGCTTTTGAAACCCTTAATTCTTAGAAAAAGACTTCTGGGACTTTTGTACTTTTATAAACTTTCTTGGCACATCCAATATTTATAATATCATTTCATCTATAATCTTCTCTCTTTCTAGCCAATAAGTATGGTATGCTATCCGACTACAGCGAGTCAGTATCTCGTCCTGCAACCGGTTTAAACAGGAGTTCATGGAATCTGAAATGCCATCACAATAGATATTCACATTTTCTTTTGGTCTAGTGGAATCTATTTTGAATCTTAAAAGATGCCAAACCTTTCTCTAGTCGATTGGTCTGGGTCTCTGGCTATTCTAAGCTGCTAACATCACTCTGCCCGTTGTTTGATCGAAACCGTTTTCGACGAAACTTGGCAAGCATTCTTTTTTTTGTTTTTTGAGATTTCGACTCGTAATTTTCAGGTTTCAATGATAGATGTAAGTACATGTGGCAGTAGGGGGACAAGTAGTACATACGCCGATCTAAAAATCCTGAGTTCGAGCAGCACATGTCAAACACAGATCAATGGTCTTCAAGAGCTAAAAAGCCGTTGAAGAGGTAAAGGAAAAGGACTGGTGATTGCATACGCACTGATTCGGAAAAATATCGCGGTCCCCCATATCGGTTATCAACACCCAAAACCTCTCAGTGGCAGGGTTTGACTCCCTAGTGATAGTGGGAATCTCAGCAATAGTTTTGGCAGTCCTCTCCAATATTGCTAGTACGCTGTCTGTGTATGTGAAATTCGTTAGAACTTTGTACATCTCTTCTGGAGATCACTTTATCTTCATAAAAGTCGGTGACTGGGAGATACTATGGCAATTGGCTCGACCCGTCATCTTTCACGAACCTGGGGAGATTCATTATTTGATACTCCTCCCCAATCCAAAATGAAGACTTACCAAGGGGAGCTCTCAGCCGAATGATCAAAGAGTTTTACTCGATACGACATGTGCTCGAAGTTGGACTCCAACAATTTGTCCTTAGGCAAGCCGCCATTTCTTACCTTGGCGTGTATGCCGGCTTCTATTCTGGTAGATATATTAATTGGATGAAATTATCGATCGTGCGCCCACTGTGATCACTGATAATCTGGTTTGCGAAGAACTGATGTCGTTGTCACTTAACGGTCGCTTGACCGCTTTTTCGGCCTCTTGATTGCTCATATTAAAGTGATCCGTAGAAGAGATTATGTTATATGAAGTGGGTTGAGAAAGGTTACTTCTTATAGAGGGTGTATCTATCTATTCGATAAAACTTTATGCAGCACAGCATTAGTTGAGGGACTTCAATAAGCGTTTCATGTTGTCTTGTCGTGGCATGCACTATTCAACTATGAACTACAGCTGCCTCTTCTTGTCTAGTGTCTATCTACGTGGAGTGTTGCTATTAATTTTCCGTTCATCGGATTCTTATTGAATGTAGAATATAAATGGCGGCATATCCAGCTTGAAGGTTGATTTCTGCAGACAAGCAATAGTCCAATACTCTCACTCTTAAATTCTCACTTCAGAGGCCATTCAAACATCATAATTACCAATCATCATTACCGGCATCATGTCTTCAAATCTAACCACAGAAAATCTTATCATTCTGGCAGTTCCTCCATTGGACCTTGGTCGTGTGTCATCTGCTGGGGAAGTAGACCCGGACGAGACTCTTGAAAAGCCAAAAAAAACCGGGAAGTTGGAGCTTCGGTCCAATACATTGACTTTTTTCTGAGTGTCCCAGAGGAAGATCGTGAGACCTTGGCCGACTACAAGAAAGCCGTGTTGGCCTATCGTAGCTGGGCCAGTCTTAGATGGTGGAACAACACCTATGCCAGTGACAGTGTGCCTCAGGATGAATCCGTAGCATCGGCTGCGAAGCGGGTTGGCTACTCCGCTCGAGTAGCCGATTATAATATCAAGAATACTCCTTGGTGAGGAAACCCCCTCTTGTAGCTTTCATTGTTGTGAAACACCTGTCCTTATTGACCAACTAGGCTATCGTTAACCAGTAGTTTGATCAAGAACAAAAGTATCCGCGTATCCTCCAAAGACTTCCACGGCGCTCTCACGGATACCATTTTAGAGGGATTCATCTCTTTGCCCGCCAGTGGATCCGACGATTTGGAGAACTTCTTTAAAGTTCTCACAGAGGCAGTCGAGACCCGGTCTCAAGTTAGTGACAACATCCAGCAATACTTAGTTTTGCAGCGATACGATTACTCACCACATGCAAGAACTGTTCGTTCATGTAAGTTAAATAGCGCTCTCATTGGCTTGTAGCAACTGCTGTACTAATTTATATAACAGTCATTCGTACCTGTTTATTTGAGGTTACCTCAGAAATGGTTGAAGTACAACGAAAGAAGAGTTCTTCAACCACCATTAACGTGTCCATCGTATACAATGAGTACGAAGCAGTGGTACGTAAGCAGTCAACAATATTTACTTATCTCGCAAATATGAAACCTTATCTTTCCTCTTACCCTTCCTCCAACCGATGTAGATGATGAGGATGCAAGACAACCCTTACCATTCAAAGTTTATTTCACTCCAAGATCTTCCTTTGGTAGATAATACTAACGCTGCGATTTACAATAGGTCAACATGGCTTCTTGGACACAAGTCTCTGACATGATTGAAGAGCAGGAAAAATATAGAATGGAGGACTATGTTAAGAATGATACCATCGAGATTTCAGGTTGATCAGGCATTCAAAAAGGAGTCCCCATTTGCAAATCAGAGGTTAAAAATTCAATCCAAAAAAATTCCGTTTCTCATCATCGTATACCATACTCGAGACCCTCTCAAAGCATACGGACAATGACTTACGAGTGCAAAGCAATGACCAGATCTGAGAATTTCTATGTGCCCATGTGAAGGATTGAACTTGAACTTGAAGTCCACGTGGTTCTGCAGTAAATCTTACCCTGCTCTTAGGACATATACCGTCCTCGCCAACCTCGCTCTACAGCTCTGATGAATTACCAATTGGACAATCACAAAACCAGCAACCCACTTGCGAGGCGATATTATAGCAAGACGCGATAATGGGATGGAAAGATTTTATTGAGCTGTGTATTTTGACTCATACAGAATACTCTTACTCCTCTGAAGTTTGCCTATCCTATGTATACATCATAGACCTTGTACTTATCACCGTCACAGGCTTAATTTACATGGTCTTCCTTTCGCCCCCTCTACGCCAAATTGAAATGAAACATTAGTACCTCTCTTCCATTTGTTCTGGATCGAATCATAATTCGCAACTACGGAAAGTCTTCTGCTTCGTTATGGGAATAATGGGTATTAGAGGGGCGCGTGGAAGTTCGGATAATGCTCAGAGCTTGATTTATTCCTTCTCTGCTAGCCTTCGAGTGTTCGATTGATTCGTACCAAGAGAGCAATTCTCTCTGTTCTTTTGTCTGTTCAGAAGCTTCATATGCAAGTCTCAAGGTCACAAGATTTTGGCCTTTGCCATAATCCTCTATACACCTAGAAGCACCCCTCCACATAATCAGAAATGGAGAAACCGGTGCTCTTTCCATAGATAAAACAATATACTGCCAGTCTTGCTGAATCCTGGGGTCTCGACATATGTAATGAATAATCTTTTTGCCCTGCTCATATGGATGTTTGCAAAAAATATCAATAAGGGATATCCGTCGACTGTCTTCTATTATTGATCCTGGATTAAAGTTTAGTTTCAGTCCTGTGATAATCTTTTCAGGTCGTGGATAGCGGCTAATAGGTCCGTTCATCTGGCTCCTGTCAAAGATGACGAAGCGATATATAGGTCGAAGACAAGGCAAGGAGAGGCTGAGTGCCTGGTAAAAGTCCTCAAAGGTGGCTCTTGCTGGACAGGACATGATACAACCAGGCCAATTGTTGTGATATCTCTGGAGGTCCATGTCGATGCTCAGAACATAATTAAGACACTCGCAATTAAATTTGTGATCCGGCCAATGTTTCTCTGCGCATATGTCACCTAAAGATGTTCAGACTCGGCGTTTGGCTAATCACGGAAATACATACTGCAATATATCTGCGACTGGCATTCCTTGCAATTGAAACCGTCTTTTTTGAATCGATTGAGACAGCCTGAACGGCCACATCGTTTTTCAGAGACATCCTCATCTAGTATATCTTCACCCATAACACCATCTGTCATTCCACCAGAATTTGACTGATGCTGCATTTCTCTTTCAGCAGGAGCAGATGCGGCATTCCAGTCCATGGCCGTATATGGCTCGTCTTCTGCAAGATCCATGTCTCTCAAGGAGCGGTATTTTTGTGTAAGAAAGGATACACTGTTTATGATTCGATATTAAAAGTGATACACTCGAGCTCAAACCATTAAAACTATATTTCAGTAGTTGATATGCATACGTGTAAGCTGGTGTAAAAGTGAGCGGATTTAAGGTGGAAGATCAGGGTTTCTGAAATACTTTTACTGATAACAGATGCGAAGGACGAAGGTTCGTACCTTCTATTCTCGTAGGGAGTAGTAGACCCCAAAGATCATGGCTTCGGATTGTAGAAATCGTGAAGAACCGCTGATTACCAATGCCAATCTCGATCGAAGGTATTCTGGAATCCATGGTTCTATAATTGTCTTGCAACAGTTGATTCGTTTTACCATTTTCCTAACCCATACTCATGCATTTTTTTCTCTCCACCCTTCTCTTCCAATGCACATTATTGAAATGCCATGCCAGATCCTCCACTCCGTACTCTCCCATAAACTCTCTACCGCATTCCGGACACTCTAATTCCTCCCTTTCCAGAATTTTCCCCATCGGCACTGACTGGTAAGGATTATGTATTCGCAATGGTACCTCAACTGTAATCACGAATTTTGACGTATCAATTTTTACCTCGACCATCGAGTCTTTATGACTCAAGAGAGAAATTGCGAAAACAAGGGCAAAATCTTTGGGTGGATTGTAAAAACTCTTGACACGACGTAAAGTTGGTGTATACCTATCTCCGCAGTTCCCGCGCTGAGATTCGTTGTATAGCTGGCGAAGCGATGAACATGGCGATGCTCTCCGGAGCTCCTTAAATCCCATTTTAGTGTCATGATTTTGCCATTTCGTCGTCGTCGTTGCTGTCGCAAAATGGTTGACTCCTGGAATCATGCTCATGGGATGAGTGGATTGTCAAGGTGGTGGTGAATCATGTGCGGGGAAAATGTGTGAGTAAGTTCCGTGCATCCCTTGCCTGTCAGGTGTTCTTTCCCCGCACTTCTGAATCTGAGAGCGAACATCGTGGAATTTATGAGTCGTATGCGTCATGATTTCACACTCAAGAGATGAACTTTGGATAGCTGAGAAGAATGCATTGTGTCGAAATTGTTGTTGCACAGTTTCAGTTTTCTAAACGATTTTGTTGCAAGGGGATGCTGTATATATACGTGGTCCACTCGCTAAAGAAAGGGACCCAGTGGGTAAACGGTGATTGGACTAGAGTGTAAAAAGGCTTGGGTACCGAGCCGGTAATTGGCTCCTGATGGAATATGAATTATATGCGTGCTGTACAAATAACAGCGCACAGGGTACAGGTTTCATGTTCTGACTGTGTTCACCTGACGGTAGATCTCCGATCATATCTTCCCACATAGTTGATTTCTACCAACTATCAATTTATCGTACAGGAGTACAAAATCTAGTAACAAACTGTATCAACACCATGCATAGCATAACGCAGAAGCCAGACGAGCATCGTATGTGTATTTGACAATTCCCTCTGAGGGTGTCACTTGGATTAGTCCTTAAGTACGTAGCTGTTCCATGTAACGCACGTTTTCCCGCCCCGCCGCTCCGCCTCTCAAGACTAATCTCAAGTAGTTGCTTTGTAATTTACCGTGCTATTGGAAACAGCATAAGTAGGTACTATAACCAGCTGGAATTCTCAATTGCCAGTCCATCCAGGCCACCATCTCCATACCCCAGGGCATTTGCAAAAACTTTTACAAGAGGGACATCCCTTTTGTGCGGGTGATTCGTTCAGTTCCTCCCGTGGTTTGTGCCAAATATCGTATGCAAATTGATCCCCAGCAAGCCGTCGCTCTTTTCTTCTCACGAAATTTCAGTAAATGCATGAATAGAGAACTAGAAATTAATACTTTGACCAATGGAAATGCGGAAGTGTTGCGAGAATGGGGCACAAGCACCCAGTCGTATCTTCCTCATGGGCTTGTTCGGCTTCACGCTCCCGGGACCTCAAGAGGAATTGTTCGCTTGGCCGTGAGCTTTGGGTTAGTCGATGTATGTTATAATTCTTTGGAGGTATTTTTGAGGCATCCGAGCCTGAATTTTTGTTGGTATGCTCTGAATTTCCCTGCGGCCTGCGGTTGGGATGATCGGCTTCAGACATCTTTGTGCTAGCAAGAATGATGTCGTTCATTGCACTTTGTGTATGATTGTAGGTAAGATATCATAACAGTTAAAAAGGTAGTTATATAGCCTTGGTGTCATGAACCGTACTGCGAATCACGGTCACAATGACAACTAATAACCGTATTGTTGAGGAGGCAGTCATGGCCGCAGTCCAGCTATAATCCGTGAATAGTTTCCTCGCAATTCTGTGTTCGCCAATGAGACCAGACAGAAACAGGAGCATGAAGAGAGATGGAGTTTCTCAAGCTTGAAGTCTCATATCGAGCAAGAACGCACCGTTTCTTATTATTTGATCCAGAATTTGATGAATGCGTGGTCCATTCTCCATCAAGTTCTATTCTCGGCTTTCTTCTTGTCAGTGGTCTGCATATCTTGTCTATCAGATCTCTTTCATCTGATATGCGATCGTGTAGGATTGACGATGTTCTAGAGCTTTACAGAGTTCGAAAGTCGGGGCATTGGCATATGCTAGCTCAGCAATATTTGCGAGAATCAACTGGAAGTTGATGCAGCGCTCTTCAAAGCTTACAAAGACAAGTAGATGGCAAATTTTCAATCGCCCAGTCCTCTCTGACTGCATTTGCCGTGGAGTACAGACAGCATAAAAGCAATAGATCTTTCCTTCACTTGATACTCTATACGCCGCGTAATTCAAATAGATTTCCGCCATTCCATCGTTGAGCGCAGCCGGAAGTCTCATCTTCCTAGCTATAAACTCCCGAATTTGAAGAATATTCCAGACCGTACCCGCACTGAGTTGTGAGACTCAGTCTTGCTTGCATTTTCAGAGTTTTCAGAGAGTCAATATCATGCGGATCAATAAACAGATCCTGGTAATTATGAGATATTATATCGTAAGGAGCACGTAGAGTAAGAAGGATTGGGGGTGTAGTTTAGGAAGGAAATCGCAAACGCACAGACCACTAGCCTAACCATCAATGACGTAGCACAAATAATCTGTTTGTACGACAAAAGGCTGTATTCTGAATGTAGATACAATAACCAAAAGAACACCCGTACAACATATCCGCAAGCATGTCGCCTTCAAGGGGTAATACAATTGATGAACCTACATCCCCATCTACTTCGCCCCAATCCCAGTCCCTCACTGCAACAGAACGAACCGCTCAACTCCGCAGTTCCAGCGCTCTCAACTCTATCACCCAAAACATTCAATACCTTATCTCTCCCGGTTCCCCTACCTCCCCAAAGCCCGTTCGATTTCGTACCCGTGCTCTTCTTCGGGCTCTTCACTCCATAACTGTCTTTATATTCTGGCGTGTTATCCGGTATGCCAAGTACGCAGTTGTGGGTTCTATCGTCGCAGCGCTATCTGCTACTACCATAGGAAGTTTTGCGACAGGGATTGGATGGGTTGTTGCGCCTACGGGAGTCATAGGAGTTTTGGGAATGAGTAGTTTGTGGTGGGTAGGGAAATGGGGATTTAGTAAGACGAAGATGGGGAAGAGGTGGGAGAGGAGAGTTGAGGAGGAGGCGGATAGGCTTGAAAGAGAGGATAGGGAGACGAGGAAGGAACAAGTGAAGACGGATGGGCAGTGGCGGGATGTTACGGGACCAAAGGCTGTGCCGTGGTAGGTTGTATCAAGAACTCATAGCTGGGATGCTCTATCTAATAGCGAGAGGGGAGGCGTGAATGGGAAGATGATGTGCAAGAGGCAAAATTACAATCCCACCAGGGTGAAACGTATCGCCAACCATGTAAATAAAGCCCTTTGCATCTCATAAGTTCTACATTGGCCAGTACCACACACTTATTGCCATGCAACAGAACAGCTGAGAAGACATGGTCTGCAGCTAAATGCAAACCAGCTTTATTATAATGACAGTATTATAATCTCAATGCTAAACCCAAAACTCCTATTACATTTCCATTATGTTCCCTCGTACAAGCTCATTGCATAATTCAAGGATCATCTTCCAACTTAATCCAGCCCAAATCGATACCCTGTCTCTCCCTCTCCTTCTTTTCCATTTCCCGCGAAATTGCCTCTTCCTTTTCTTTTTTTTTGTTTTCTCGCGCTATGTTGGCCTTGCGTTTACAAATCCAGAAAATCACTGTCAAAAGCAAAAGGAAAGCCGTGGCACTGCCGACGGAGATTCCGATCATCTGCGCAGTAGGTAGTCCTGTGCTAGAAAACGAAGATGAAGACGATGGGGTGGGTGACTGGGGTGAGGAAAGATTTAGAGGGGTGTTAAGGGGCGTCCAATAAGACGACCATGTGTCTTTCCATGTGGTTGTGGCGGTATTTAGGGAAGTAGAATCAGGCTGAAGGTTAACTAATTTCTCATCGGGAACATCAGGACCCGGCGCTTGAGCTAGAAAAAATGCAGTGCTTTGGGATGAAGAGATATTGGATGAATCAGTCCAAATGGTTCCTAAGAAGGCAGCTTGGAGAAATGCACGGCCGAGAGCCCAAGAGCCGGAGGGTAGTGAGGATGGTTGGCAGGGGAAATAGGGAATAGAATCAGAAGTGTTAGATAGGGGAGATTTTAACGAAAGTGAAAGGAGGGAGAAGGGAATTTTGATTGAGGTTTGAGTATTCTGATTGTCTGAGTCTGAGTTAGAGAATGTGAAGGCGAGATAGGTAGGTGATGAGATGATAGGTTTGTAGAGTGGAGATGCAGTGTTCCAGAGGTAGAGGTTTAGATTTTCGTTGTATATTATGGGGAGGAAAGAGGCAAGTATGTCGCAAGTTGATGTTGGGAGGTAGAGATATGGAACCGAAGGATCGACGTTCACTTCTAGTAAACCATTAGATGCGGCGGAAGTTGCATTATTGAATAGAAGCCCAGATTTAGTGGCATTGAAGTTCAAAGGAGAGTATCCATCAATAGTACCGATTGAAATGTCAGCTAGTGACATGGAGAATGTACCATTGTAACCCTGTTGCGTAGTGACAGGCGTCAAAACTCGAGATTGATCGTATCCTCCAAGTACCAAACTTCCAGGAATACCCATCGAAGCAGAACCAATGTGCAAGCCAAATGAATTCGACGGAATCCTAGCCTGGGAGTATAAGCCAGAGGAGAGAAACTGCCCGGTAAGATTTGAAGAGAATGTCTGATTAATGTCTGGGGCACCTAGGGCAAGGGTCCCGACTTGAGGTGCGTACGCTGTTCCGTTTGATAAAGTTTGAACAGCAATCTCAATGACAAGAAGTTCAAAATTCTCGATAGTGTTACTATCTATTCCATTGGAAATTGTCAAGGTATCAAGTCCTATGTGAGCGTCGCCGGATAAAATGGGCAATGCACCGGCCCGGTTTGCGAATGTAGTATTGGAAATGACACCAGTATCGTTGATTTCAGTGTAGGAAGTGGAAGCATGCCTATCAAAAAGTCCAGCTTTCGATGATGAGCAGCTTGAGGAATTAGAACAAATTGAAGTGCTTAGGATATCAGCTGTCCATGTCCCACCGGGAAGGAGGTCAATAGCTTGAGTGGGTGTACCGATATCAATAGAAATTGCTTGCCATGGTCCGTCAGGGCCATAACTTCTGTTTGACCATTGAAGAGATATTGCATTAGAACCTGCTAATGCAAGAGGTATAAAGAGGGATGCTAAAATCAATGATATTGCTCGTGACCTTGAAGTCTTTGATGCAGCCATTATGAAACACACCAAATTCGCTAGAATGTAAATGAATAAAACAGCCACCCCAATGAAAGAGAGAGAGAAAATGGAAGACTATGGTGTGTTTATGATGCGATGAGAGGCTTGCGCCGCCTATGCCGCCTTCAAACTTACATTGCGATACACCAACATCAGCAACTGTTCTTTTGTTGGGAGCTTCAGCCTCGAATCATAAAAAGATCAATCCTCCGGTCGTAAATCAAACCTGAACTACATCATATCATCTGGCTTCCGCGCTTGAGCTCTCGAAATTGGCTTCTCAAAAGCGAAGCAACTACTGTAGTAATAGGAATTTCACGCAGCAACGATACTAAGCCAACAAATGCCAACTATGGCACTGAGGCAATACAAGCGAAGGCCACCCATTCATCGTTGGAATTGGGCCATACTATGACCGCATGATCAGAGGGGCAAGGCCCAATAGTTGGAAGCATTGAGGAATTGCATGTTGTGTGTAGGTGTGAGGGAGGTGGTGGTTTTTTAATCATTATCGGATTTAGTTTTGCGGTATATTCTGAATCCTGGTATCAGTGTGATGGCACTTTAAGACACGAAACAGTATTAATTTGATATGGAAATGCTGTATAGCTATAGTTACTATGAAGGTAAAATATTAGAATTGAAGACCGGGAGGATCATGTTGGGCTACGGCACAGCCACAGCCTAGGTGGCGCATGGGGAGGCTGCAAGGCTACCTATCACCTCTACTATGAAGTACATCATTCTACTACCTCTTTCCTTGCTTGGGCATCATCGATTATTCCATTCACCCAATATGTTCGGCAGATTTTATAGTAATGGATCGGTTTACCTCCATACTGCTAGTAGCTTTAAAGTACAAAGGTTGTACTCCGTATGCATAAAATCACCTTGAAATCCTGAATTACATCACTCATCCTCACAAGGCTACTTCCACAGTCCTCTAGATTCAATCACAGAGGATACCAAACCACTGCTATCAGAATGTCTACCTTTAAAATACAAGACAGTAACGTAGAGGTTACACTTTGTGAAGGTATCACCAAGGATGAATTATTGAGTTTTCCAGCCTTTAAAGTATACATCACTGCCCTCCTCTTTCCATTACTCCTCCCTGCGATACTGACTAACATTTTCTTCCATCACAGTCATGGCATAATCGCCTAACCGAATCTCTCGCTCTACAAGGCAAATCCTCTGATCATCCCTTCCATTCCGATCCTTATCAGCTCCGCGCTGTTAAAATCCAATCACTCGACCGCTGGGGCAAGCGCATCGGTTTTATCAAGATCAGCAGTAAAATCACAAATGAAGCAGGCGATTCTCTGCCCGGGGACATCTTTCTCCGAGGCCCAAGTGTTGGAATGATGGTCATTGTTCAACCCGAAGATGCCAAGAAACCTGACGAGGAAAGATGGGTTGTGATGACTGTTCAACCTCGACCTGCTTCAGGGAGTTTAGCATTTATCGAGCTACCAGCTGGTATGGTTGATGATGGAACATTCAAAGGTGCAGCTGCGAAGGAAATTGAAGAGGAGCTAGGCTGGACAATACCTGCAGATCAATTGACTAATTTGAGCGAACTGGCTGTTGGTGACGGAGCGAACAAAGAGGGAGAGGTGTTACCGAGGGCAATGTTTCCTAGTGCCGGGGGCTGTGATGAGTATGTCCAAGTCTTCTTGCATGAGAAGAAGATCTCAAGGGAGGAGTTGAAGGAGACCACAGGGAAGCTTACGGGGTTGAGAGACGAGGGTGAGAAGATTACACTTAAACTGGTGAAACTGGAGGACTTGTGGAAGGAGGGCGCGAGGGATAGTAAGGCTTTGACTGCTTGGGCACTCTACGATGGGTTGAAGCGAACAGGAAAGCTATGAAACTTTAGAATCACATGCATGAATTATTAGTTTCTGAATCAAATGACATTACCTCGAATACCTAAGCAGCATTCTTACGCATGTTACACTACATATACCGGACATTATTATTATATTCATCGATCTATCGTAACATCATGCTCGTACTTTATTTTGAAAATACATTCAGTGTCCTGGCAATTTCAATGCCCTCAGCTAAAGTTCCTACCCGGGCATCTATCGCATATCCTTCTTTCTCCCATTTTTTACACTTCTCCCATAAGTCCTTCAGAGATAAAGTGAATACTTCAATAAATTCGTTCTCTTCGAGTTCAGGCACTAGATTCTGGTTGGCTGGATCAGACATATCAACCGTAACATGCACCATTTTGAGGTTTGTATTGCAGAATCCTGGATCTGTGGAGGGCATACATTAGCGGGAATTTCTATGTGAGTGAGAGCAAAATGAGAGGGTTACCATTAAACATTATGGGTGTACTCTCACTCAAGACTCCAACATAGCCAGTCTCTTCTTTCAATTCTCTCAAAGCTGCTTCCTCTGCAGTTTCCCCCTCATCGATAAGTCCGGCGGGTACTTCGATCACTACTTTATCCAATGGTGGTCGATATTGCTTCTGTAAAACTAGTTCCGGGCCTGAGTTCCACTGGTATTAACATTTTTTTCATTTTTTACACAAGTATAGCTTGATTCAGATGTCTTTACATACCGGTCTCTTTTTGTATTATGGCAACAATTCCAACACCGTCTATCTCAGACGACTTCGGTCGAGTAGATCGTTCCGCATGTTCCCAATTACGAACTTTTCCTCGAGGATCGCGATACGTTGATCTGAATGTTCGCAAATGTATCAGCTGCAATGGTTCTGGCAGCTTAGCTTAAGCAGATCAACACGTACAGCACGAGTTTTGTCCATTTTGCTTTGGCAGAGTCCTGCAATGGAGTCAGAATTTCAATGGTTCTAGGCATTCGGGGTGTACGAAGGGATTACTCTACCAGTGGCTCCGTTTTCAAGACTTTGGCGTTATCAATTGACATTTTGATATGGGGTTCGGAAAAAGGTAAATATGTAGAATTCAAAAATACAAAAATGGAAATTCGACGTTGTCTTGAATCGAATACTTTTTGATATAAAAGTCCCAATGTAGATCTTGACGTAGTCGATTGTAGCTCACCAGGGGGTGCACAGACTCACGGGACAACGTGACAGGAAAGCACAATTTCACACTCAAATTTATCAACTTCAAAACTCAATCAAAATTCCAAATTTCATTTAATATTATTCAAATTAAGATATATGATTTATAAACATAAGATTTATATAATATATAAAGATTGAATCTTAGAAATAAATATTGAATTTAAAAATCAAATAGTATGTTTTCCCATCAAATTTTTTGGTGGGATATTATATAATCGATTGTATAAATTTGAATTTTGTTTTTTTTTTAAAATAAAACTTTCACTATATAAAATTCTTATGCTTGAGAATAATAATTCTTAATTTCAAAGTCAAATATCAATTTTTTGAATTTTAATTGAATTATCAAAACAGCTCTTTTTGGTGTGAAATTGTGCTTTTCCTCTTAAGTGTCCCGTGAGTCTGTGCACCCACTGGTGGCTGTGATGCGGAAAGGTTGGTCGAAGCTTTAGCGCTGGGTAGTTTATGGGAACATTCTTTTTGTCTTTCTTCCTCTTCTTCACCATTTTCACCTATCAATGGACAAAATTTCATGGCTATGCAATTTATTCTTTCTAATAATCTTTCAAGTTGTCCATGGCAGACTCGTACAATGAGAGGGACCATTTTTGTTGTGTTGTCACCGTTGGTTGTAGCAATTATCGGACGCTATTTGCGAGACAAGATGAAATGTGTTGGCACCTTTCATTGTCAACTTACGGTTCATTCGAGCAGTGAGGATCAACTTCATTCATCCATCACATTAGCAGATAGTTGCAGTTTCTGAATGTTCTGATGATGAGCAACCTCCCATGCTCAATGAAAGCGCCTCTGACGACAACCCTGGTCTCATCAAGCTCAAGTTCACCCATTCTAGCAACTGTTTGCTCTGGGACCTTGATACTGAGAACCAACGTGTTAGATCTTTCCATCATTCCGTTTTCGTGCTACTAAATTCGATCTGTGCCCTAGTGTCGTTGCAACAAGAGATAAAGGAAACACATGAGCGCCTTGCCAAGCATTTTCTATGATAGTACATCCCGAAAAAGCGATCATTCTTCCTAAAAGTGTATATCAGGCGGTGCAACTGTCAAAGCCCTACCAAAAACAGTCTTTTCCAACGAGTGATCTCCAACATGCGACAGAAGCATGAGACTGGTTTGTGCACTCTCGTGCATTTCTCTCAAGCGCGAACTTTCTACTGTCCCAAAAGAGTAAGGAGGGGCAAGGTAGTATCCATCTAGCAAGCGCTGGCCTTAAATAGAGCCAGAACCCCGAAAATGCAACCTTATCTCACACATGCTTATTAGTCTCGGCGGATCTTGTGGAAACAGCTCGGCTTAGTCAGTCATGCCGTTCAGTTCGTTTGCTTTATTCAGTATTCATGCCTCGATATTTGGGTATCGGGTGCAACTTTTGATGACCAAGGGAAGACTTGGTACCACCTGATTTCCTCCTCATGGCTCAATTAAAATCTCCATTTGTGCGATTTAATCTATAGGAAGTATCCTGTGGAAGTCATTTGATGATTTTCATATTTAACATTTCATTCTATCGATGGGGGAATAGATTTCTTTCTTTTTTCTTGCGCGCTTATACGATGATAGAGCCGGCGATATACAGTTACCAATGAATGGTTCCAGTCACAGGGGTCACTCACGAGCCTTGCTCAATATTACTGTGGAATTAAACCAACATGTTTGCAAAAAGTATCACTTGGTAAATATGAAGGTATTCTTAAAGGTTTAAGATTCCTCAGTTGATTGAATGGCTTGATACGATATCAGTCAACCTTCAAGATGAAGTTTCTTGATCTGCTTTCTCTCTCACTCTTGCCCCTAATTCAAGCGATTCCAATCGACCTACACGCTGCTCAAAACTCTACCAATGATATAGCCACAACTCCACGGCTTGCTGTGTACGTTCAAACTTACCACGACGAATACAATAAAGATACGAATCTATCTCTCTTACCTCTATTAGGTGAAGATATCCTACCAAGCCATGTCATCCTCGCTGCCTTGCATATCATGAGTACACCAGGGGTTATTCATTTGAATGACGATCCTCCTGATACCCCGATGTACGATGAGTTATGGGATCAGGTAGAGGCTCTTCAGGCAGCAGGGATAAGAGTATCGTGTATGATGGGTGGCGCTGCTCCGGGAACTTGGAACTATTTCACTGGAGATGACAATGATGTAGCTTGACACTCCATAATCTCTGTTCTATACCTATGTATTGCTAATATTTCTCAAGTTTCATCAATACTACGACCCTCTCCTCAATAATTTCATCAGGAAATACAACCTCAATGGTATAGACATTGACGTTGAGCAATTTGTGGATATCACTGTAGCTCTTCGTCTAATCAAACAGCTTTACACCGACATGGGTCCCGACTTTGACATAACCATGTCACCAGTAGCTTCAGCTCTATCTCATGGCGGAAGTCTCTCGGGGTTCTCCTATTCCGACCTCGATGCCCAAGCACGAGATCCAGATACCGGCACACCGATGATATCGTTTTACAACGCCCAATTCACCAATGGCTGGGGATCCGCAGGAAACACTAATGATTATGACGCTATTGTCGGCGCTGGCTGGGATCCCTCGAGAGTAGTAATGCTGGCTTCGGCCGCAAGAAATGATGCCAGTGGATGGGTTCCGATCAGTACACTTAAGAACACGATCAAAAGTTTGAGGAATAAATATCCCAATTTTGGAGGCGTTAATGGATGGGAGTACTTTGATGCGGGGAGTAGTGATGGACTATCTCAGCCATATATGTGGATGGCGAATCTGAGAGAGGCATTGAATGTTTATTGAGTTTCATTTTAATTTTAGGGGAGAATGTATTGGAGTATATAAGGTTAAAACTTACAGACAATTAGTTCGAAATTATGAATAATTTTTCCACAGCAAGAATATAAAGGCACGCGGCTCCGTTTAATCGTAGCTTTTCAGAACACACCAAAATAAATCTGTTTCTACAATCAACTAATGGTTTACACTTGTGCAAACTGAGATGATAGACTCTAAAGCATTAAATCATTAGAGGAAATTTTGTTCAGTCTCTAATGACCTGTCGTCTATTTCACTTCATGTTAAGAAGAATTGAAAGCCAACTTGGTATGTCAGGACTAAGCGGAGCCACATGGGGGGTTCCGAATATTACGATTTTTCGTGAGTAAATCCTGTTTCTATCTTACATGCTCGCATCAGAGAGAGAGAGAGAGATCAATTAGATAACATACTACTACATCATTTGCATATACTTTAATATTCGTATCTTTTACTTATTAATCCTTGAGGTTCCCACAAGAAAATGAACGTTCCTACTATCTTTCCCCCTGTCTCTCACCCACCAAAACACATGAAATTCCTTATATATACGCTACGCTCAACCTTTTCACGATTCCCATATTATTTTAGCACCTAGCCTTCCAAGTTACAATGAATCTACAAATCATAAGGTTGATTGGACATGCAGCGCCTTCAATCATTGTATTGTCCAGCTTGGGTACTTTATGCTTGCTTTCCTACTGCGTGTAAATATATATTCATGGGATCAGGTGACTGTACGTTCCCTCATTTACACCTGTTGAGGGCATGCAAAGGGAAATTTTCTAACATTATACATATTGGCAAGACAAATTATTCTATTTATTGGTATGATTGATGTTCCTCCTGCCTGGAGTAATGGGGTTGTCCGAATATATACAATTCACTTGACTCAGAGAACTCATAAATGAGGAATAGTTTATGGTTAACCAGACTCAGGTAAGCCAAAGGCGCAAAGTATTTTTTGTCACTTACATTCATCGTGCAATCTTTTTAAAGACAGAGTTTCAGTGCCTATACCAGTACTGAAAACTCAGAAGTGATTGTTCTTACATGCTAATACCAACTTCAGTCGGCCAGCTATGTAACAGCAATCACTAGTCCAACATTCAGCTTGAAGTTTCTCGCATACATTCACTATGTGCGCAATTTCGACAGTACAAATCTCCCACTCAAATTTTACACTTTTGTCTCCTTCTTGATCTTTGTGTGTAATCAATTTCCCTTATTGGCAATCTATGCGACGCTCGATATGATCTGTAAACCATCTTTGATAAATCAAGATGAGGAAATGAATCGTACATTTATGCCAGCTTCTGATGGATGCCTCTGGTCAATAAGTTCTTCGTATTGGAACATTTGGCTTACTATCTCGACAATATTCGTGTTTTTGAACGAAGTCATGCTTTGGGGGGCCGCAATTTGGAGATTGTGGGTTTGAGCATGGAGAGAAAAGTAAGTTGAGAATTGTTCGATTGTTCTTGTCATTGGAGGATTGTAAGTGATTAGATCATTCTGTATGCCGCCAGATTGAGGTCGCTGATTTGAGATATGTCGATTGTAGGTTTTGCTTGGAAGCTCTGGCCCATGTCGTTGTTTATGGAAACCTTATCAGTGATGGAGGATTGCTATATAACATTTTGCCGCTGAAATTCTTGGGTGCAATAGAATACTGTATGAAGATCACGAGTGTGTGTGTAGCTATCCGATATCTTTACAGGGTGGCTGGGAGGTATAGATTATGGAAAGCAAGAGGAGAGGAGAGGGAGGAGATGAAGTAGAGCTGTAATAATTGGGGGAAGAAGGCACTCGCCCCCTAGTTTCCCAGCTATTCGATATAGTATCATTCACGCTCTAATGATCTTCATGGCCTCGCCATAGCACCTTCACTGGAACATCCGTTCTCTGTTCCAGGCTTTATGAGCAGAGCACATGCTCTAGATTTATTTCCGGAAGCGATCTTTCTAGTAAAGGGAGGGAGAAACCGGCTTCAATACAATAGACCTACGACTTAAGTGAGTCTGACAAAACCACTTTCGTCAAAACATTGGTTGGTGACTAGCCAAGCATAATAAATCGAAACTAGCAACAATAAACAGCTAACTAATTGAGCGAGTGAGGCTTGAAGAGTACTTTCTAATATTCATAAACGTCAGATGAACTAAGTCACGAGAAACAAGTTTGAATGAACAAAAAAAACGTGATTGTTTCACGTGATATCATAGCAACGCAAACACGCCTAGGTCTGAGCGGATCTGCGACAACTTAGAGTTTCATACAAGCCTGAGAGTTTGTACGGAGGAGTTCTTTGTACTTGTCTGTATTTGGCCGAGATGTATGTATGGATTTATATCTATCTCATGCAACTCTTGACTTGCAATTTCCAGTCCAGTTTGTATCATTTATGTACCACCACGATAGTGTCGTTAGCCACTATATGACAACCAACCAAAGTCTCATCTTCATCAATCTAAAGTATGTTCAGTAAACTCACCACCAAGATTGCTCTTCGAAAAGCAGGTCTCCCATCAAACACTCTCTCCAGCTTTTCAATCACAAATCTCGATAATGGCGACCAGAAATCCATCAATCCCAAGTCTGGAAACAACAATGCCACATGGGGAGATACTTTCTCAAATATGACTTCAGATGTCAATGTCCCAAAGAGTTGGAAATCATGGGGAAACCCACCACCGGCGATAGCAGAAGTTGCTCCTGCACCGATGGTGGGAACGAAGGCGCCAAGCACAGGGAAATTGATATTACCCATGGGGGATGGGAAGGCTTGCGTGCTCGTATTTTTGAGGTGCTGTGGATGTGCTTGTGAGTTTGCTTATTAGCCGTCGTATTGTGATTTTTTGAGCCGTGTTACCCGTTCTCGTCAATCAAGATTTGGACGTCAGACTGGCCTCGAGGCTAACCTTTTCCCATTCAGTTGCAGAAAAAACCTTCATCGAATTCCGTCGCTTAGCGAATAAACATCAGAACCTACATTTCATTGCCATATCTCACAATTCCAAGGAAGCAACGGATAAATGGGTGCAGCAAGTCGGGGGAGCATGGGCAGTTCAAGTAGTCGTCGATGAAGATCGGGGAATCTATGCCAATTGGGGGTTGGGAGTAAGCACGACGTGGCATTTGCTGAATCCATGGACCGAGATTGCACGACAGAAGCTGGGGAAACAGGAGGGGAATTGGGGAAGAGAGGTTGATCCGAGTGGGAATCGATGGGTGGTGGGTGGAAGCTGGGCCACAGATGAGATGGGGACCATTAAATGGGGTGGTGCGAGTAAGAGTGCTGACGAGATACCCGATCTGGTAGAGGCCTGTAAGAGTGTGGGTGTTTCGTGAACACTTGGAGGATATCTATGATGTAGGTATGGAGTTTGATCGTGGAGTTATGGGGCGCAATTAATGTCGAGAAAACTTGGCGACTCGGTTGGTTCGACTTGAAGAGCTCTATCGGGCGGGAATACGAGGAAATAGAGTAATGATCCTACAGGTTACGAGTTACGAGTTATTTTGCCTTGGATTGGATCGAGAATGGATTGTTTAACGCAGGTCCAATGTTTCACAATATGCACAATCTAATCAGGTCACTACGAGTTGTTAGCCAGTCGGTTGCTCGCCAGTTCGGACAGTTCGGAAACGAAGGACTTGTCTGTAGAAGACGCGTCAAATATGTTTTTTTTCTTTCAGCACAATGAGATTAGAAGAATATTCCTGTCTATAGGTAGAAATGAGATAGATAATACCCTCAGCACTAATAAAATGACGTTGAGATCTAAAATTTTCTTTTGGATGCTTTTTGAATCCTTAAGCCCCTACAAAAGTTCCGAATTCCCGATCAAATCTCGAAAATAGATAACATCTCAACACGTGATTCGACAATCTTTGTCTAATCCCCTGACAACACCATTCCATATATGACCTAGAACATTTTGGATTTGATGAACTGACGAAATAAGAGCTCCACCTACCACCTCACAACATCAGTATTCCTTGAATCTCCCGAGATTTCGCTCATAAACGTTCCATAAATACTCAGAAAAGTGGAATTTCACATGGAATAATATCGCTCGCGATGATGCTTGACCCCTTTCTCACAACACTCGAGGCCCTTTCGGTCTGCAAAGTTGTGGATTTACGGCGGATCCTCGCTGAGGCGTCAGGAAAGCTTGGTGAAAAGTTTAAATGTCGGTCCAAAATCTGTCCGCGGTGCAAAATTGGAATATCATATGGTTCGTACACTCTCCAGATTTGCATTCATTTGATTTCCTCTTCCTTTTCTGCTTTTTACATACATTAGTAATGTTATTGTTATAAAACTTTATTTTTGCGATTTACGGCATTAGTCGAGTGCCACAGCATAATCACTCGTTACATTGAAATTTCATCTGTGTTGAGCTTGATTGGTAATAGACCATGGCGGACGAAGAGATCAAGCCCACGAGCAGCATAGAGGCTGGTGGAGGACGAAATAATGAACTTGAGCATGGAATGACTAGTCTGCCAAATCTACCTAGTACGAGAGAGGAGACGCCACGTGAGTTAAGTCCAGTAGCTGGATCCAGCCGAGCACAATCTACAGGAGAACAGGGGGTCAAGCCTCTGAAAAGATTTGATACACTGCCCACACGGCGGAATCAACTCTCACCAGATACCCGAAGACGCGGACGAACTCTGACTGGCCAGGTGCCCCAAAATAATGATCTATCTTCAAGGAGACAAGTTTTAAGGAGGGGAACCTCGATTCTTTCAGGAGAAAGCGGAGATAGAATGCGTTCTATTCCCGAGCGAGGGGCCGTTCCTCCTACTACGGAGAGAGAACCTCGCCCTAGTGGCGTTTCCGATCGCACTCAAGCCTCAGGTCTTCGCCCACGCATGAGCACAACAAGTCGTCAACGAGGAGCCTCCATCCGAAGAAGACCAACTGTTGCATTAGAAGCCGTAACCTCAGGAGCTGATGTTGGAGGCGGAGACAACTTTACACTGGCTGGGCCTGCACCAGTTGAGACCATGGTGCAGAATCAGCCCTATGTTGATCCAGGGTACGCCCATCTAAATCCTGCTTATGTTCAACCCGAGAACGTAAGGCCAGTATGGGGTTTGGCCAAGCCTTTACCCCGTGTAGTACGTCCAGGTATGATTCCGTCACGCACAGAAATCAATATGGCCCAGCAACAGCAACAGCAGCCTCAAACCCAGGCGGATTTAGATTTAGAACAAGGTAGGATTCAACCAACCCTCAAATTGTCCAGAATCTCAACCGCACTTCAAAATGCTAGACAACAACGTGAAAACAACCTCATGGAAGCACATGGGTTGGTTTCGCCGACAAATTTACAAAGTACGACATCGCAGCAGCAGCCATTGACTGCTCCGTCACAGGTCATTGAAGAAGAGGACCTAGCCGATAGACCAACAAACACAGATACGACATCTTCAGAACGTCCTCCAACACGTCCTCCTCTCTCTTTTGATGGCCGACCCTCGCAGAATTCACAACACTCGCAGAATGAGCCTTTCCCTAATCTTTCGGACCATGATGACCAAGGGTCTGTGACAACGGAAGTTGCGGGTCCGGATGACCTAGATGGAGAATGGATTGGCCAAGAGATACCGTTGGTAGCGTACGATCCCAATTACGATGACGAGATTCACAATCTTCATACACACTGGTCCGTTATACGATTAAGATTTCGAGAACCACTTGCAGAGTTATTGGCCGTAAGTCCTTCTTCATTGAAAATATATACTTTCCCCTGCTGATAAGTTCCTAGGTCACTTGCCAACTTACACTCGGATTTTGTGCGGATCTAGTGGTGGTAACATCAGGCAAAAATTCATCACCTGCAGGAAACGAAGCTACTACCGATTGGGCTTGGGGTTTGGCATCGATGCTTGGTATCTACATTGCTGGTGGTATTTCCGGAGCTCACCTTAATCCGGCTATTTCCATAATGCTCTGGATATATCGAGGTTTTCCTCTTCGCAAAGTACCAATGTATGTTCTCGCACAGATACTAGGAGCGTTCATCGCAGCTTTGATCGCATTCGGTCTCTATCAAACCAACATTGTCGAATATGGAGGGACCAACCTGAAAACCGGCGATACTATGGGAGCCTTTATTACATACCCGAGGTATGCCTGGATTAACGCTAGTACATCGTTTTTCACCGAATTCGTCGGAACCGCAATCCTCGCAGTCGCAGTCCTAGCACTAGGAGATGACATGAACGCACCTCCAGGAGCTGGTATGTCAGCATTTGTAATGGGACTCGTAATCGTCGTTCTCAGTATGGCTTTTGGTTACAATACCGGCGCTGCTTTGAACCCCTCTCGAGATCTTGGTCCAAGACTTGCGCTCCTGGCACTTGGCTATGGAGAAGATCTCTTCACTGATGTATATTGGATATGGGGAAATTGGTGTGCGCCAATTTTGGGTGCTATCTTCGGGGCATTCTTATATGATGCTGCGATCTTTGCAGGTGGTGAAAGTCCTGTTAATTATCCGCGAAAGAGGATAAAGAGGGCGGGACACAAGTGGAGAAAGAGATGGGGTGTTAAGTTGAGGAAGATGAAGCCCGCGAAGAAGGGTGAGGATGAGACATATCGAAGGTGGAAGGAGAGTCAGTAATTTTTAGATGACAGTAACGAGGAATCTTGTTTGAGGCGGATAGTGATATATGTGGAGTTTGGAGCTATCAATATTTGGTTGCAAATTGTTGATTGGATATACAGCTATAATTTTAAAAGAAAGTTCGAATGGGTTAGATTAGCAGAACATCATAGCACAGCGCAGCGAAGATACCATTTCCCCCATCCTGGAAGAGAAAAGAAAAAGAATCAAATTTCTAGATTTCGATGAATGATCCCCGCGATAATTACTCTTACAGTTTAAAACAAAAAGACCTATGTCGTAATTAGTCTATCTTTTCCCTTCAAACGTCAATCCACCCCGTCGCAAATAAATACTCTGTTTCATCCCAACAATCGATCAGCACTCCAATGAAAATCATACCAGCGACGATCACACACTAGCACATATCACAGAGTCGTACATCGGAGAAATCTAATTTGAGCTTCAAATTTTCCTGGAGGTGGGCCATATCTTCAGTGATTCAGCTTGCTTTTTCACTTGAATCTGTTGCATTGGTACAAAGTAGCGTGAGTTGCTTCTCATATATATTATGCCAAGCCTGTCATAAGCTTGCTATCGCGTGACATAGGCTTAATATTTTAGGGTGTTTTAGGTGTGGTATCCACATATTCGCGGCAGTTTCGTGACCCTGAAGATTAGAGGGGCGCCAGGGGCTTGCGAATTGCGATTGCGTGGCTCGCTTAGCGCCAGGTACAGAACCTAGAATTTGTAGGGTGCTAGCCTGGAAGGACCTAGAACTACGGTTGGATGTAAATGGCTCTATGGGAACAAGATCTTGCATGTGCAGGTTCTGATAGACCTTAATGGGTGATGCCTATCGTAATTTTCTAGTTATGGATCATGTAAAGGTTTGTAAATGTTGGATGCGCAGTGTTTACTCGTTGCACATAACGCAGACTTTATAACACTACCTAGATACTTGTCCTAATTGGATTGTGTAGGAGCAGGCTACACAATGAACAAAAGACGGGCTTGAAGCGCTTATTACTTCGGCGAGCAATCTGTCCGACTGTATATCGTACAAGTAGTACGACTACAAATACTCCACTCTCCGGAATGTGTGGATCCGGTGCTTTGTTGCACGCAAAATGTACGGGGTAGATTTTCTCAACCTTATGCTGTGTATTAAAAGAAACCAACCTTGGATTTTATAAAATGATGACTTTCCAATCCCAATTTCGATGTTTTCATTTTGACATTGAATTGCATAATAATTTCGTTCTTTTCTAATTATTCGCGGCGTATTATAGTATAGAGATTTGGAGGCAAGAAGATTTGGGAAAATGGTGGTTCAAAGATTAAGGACTTTGGTGCTGTTTGGGGTTATTCTGTTGTTTTGTTACACATGGAAATTCTTCCTGCCGAGGAGTCCAAAAAGTGTGGTTTATGGGGAGGAGATGATCATACCACAGGATGTTTGGGAACAAGTTAAGAAAAACAACGAGATTTTGCACGATAATGAGGTTGAGGTTGAGAGAGAACGGGTGACGATGACGAGTTCGACGACGAGTTCAGTGGAAGAAGTGAAGACATCGACAACACCTGAAGTTTTGGTAGTGACGGATTCACAAACTATATCAATCTCTTCGCCATCACTAATATATACGCCACATGAAGTCGCCGAGTCATCCAAGTCCCAGGCGGCTCAAAATGAGGCCTCGGAATCAAGACAATATTTTCCCTCAG